GCGCCTATGTGTGCGTGTGTGCGCCTATGTGTGCCTGTGTGCGCCTATGTGTGCCTGTGTGCGCCTATGTGTGCCTGTGTGCGCCTATGTGTGCCTGTGTGCGCCTATGTGTGCCTGTGTGCGCCTATGTGTGCCTGTGTGCGCCTATGTGTGCCTGTGTGCGCCTATGTGTGCCTGTGTGCGCCTATGTGTGCCTGTGTGCGCCTATGTGTGCCTGTGTGCGCCTATGTGTGCCTGTGTGCGCCTATGTGTGCCTGTGTGCGCCTATGTGTGCCTGTGTGCGCCTATGTGTGCCTGTGTGCGCCTATGTGTGCCTGTGTGCGCCTATGTGTGCCTGTGTGCGCCTATGTGTGACTGTGTGCGCCTATGTGTGCCTGTGTGCGCCTATGTGTGCCTGTGTGCGCCTATGTGTGCCTGTGTGCGCCTATGTGAGCCTGTGTGCGCCTATGTGTGCGCCTGTGTGCGCCTATGTGTGCCTGTGTGCGCCTATGTGTGCCTGTGTGCGCCTATGTGTGCCTGTGTGCGCCTATGTGTGCCTGTGTGCGCCTATGTGTGCCTGTGTGCGCCTATGTGTGCCTGTGTGCGCCTATGTGTGCGCCTGTGTGCGCCTATGTGCGCCTGTGTGCGCCTATGTGCGCCTGTGTGCGCCTATGTGGGCCTGTGTGCGCCTATGTGTGCGCCTGTGTGCGCCTATGTGTGCCTGTGTGCGCCTATGTGTGCCTGTGTGCGCCTATGTGTGCCTGTGTGCGCCTATGTGCTCCTGTGTGCGCCTATGTGTGCCTGTGTGCGCCTATGTGTGCCTGTGTGCGCCTATGTGTGCCTGTGTGCGCCTATGTGTGCCTGTGTGCGCCTATGTGTGCCTGTGTGCGCCTATGTGTGCCTGTGTGCGCCTATGTGTGCCTGTGTGCGCCTATGTGTGCCTGTGTGCGCCTATGTGTGCCTGTGTGCGCCTATGTGTGCCTGTGTGCGCCTATGTGTGCCTGTGTGCGCCTATGTGCGCCTGTGTGCGCCTATGTGTGCGCCTGTGTGCGCCTATGTGTGCCTGTGTGCGCCTATGTGTGCCTGTGTGCGCCTATGTGTGCCTGTGTGCGCCTATGTGTGCCTGTGTGCGCCTATGTGTGCCTGTGTGCGCCTATGTGTGCCTGTGTGCGCCTATGTGTGCCTGTGTGCGCCTATGTGTGCCTGTGTGCGCCTATGTGTGCCTGTGTGCGCCTATGTGTGCCTGTGTGCGCCTATGTGTGCCTGTGTGCGCCTATGTGTGCCTGTGTGCGCCTATGTGTGCCTGTGTGCGCCTATGTGTGCCTGTGTGCGCCTATGTGTGCCTGTGTGCGCCTATGTGTGCCTGTGTGCGCCTATGTGTGCCTGTGTGCGCCTATGTGTGCCTGTGTGCGCCTATGTGTGCGCCTGTGTGCGCCTATGTGTGCGCCTGTGTGCGCCTATGTGTGCCTGTGTGCGCCTATGTGTGCCTGTGTGCGCCTATGTGTGCCTGTGTGCGCCTATGTGTGCCTGTGTGCGCCTATGTGTGCCTGTGTGCGCCTATGTGTGCGCCTGTGTGCGCCTATGTGTGCCTGTGTGCGCCTATGTGCTCCTGTGTGCGCCTATGTGTGCCTGTGTGCGCCTATGTGTGCCTGTGTGCGCCTATGTGTGCCTGTGTGCGCCTATGTGTGCCTGTGTGCGCCTATGTGTGCCTGTGTGCGCCTATGTGTGCCTGTGTGCGCCTATGTGTGCCTGTGTGCGCCTATGTGTGCCTGTGTGCGCCTATGTGTGCCTGTGTGCGCCTATGTGTGCCTGTGTGCGCCTATGTGTGCCTGTGTGCGCCTATGTGTGCCTGTGTGCGCCTATGTGTGCCTGTGTGCGCCTATGTGTGCCTGTGTGCGCCTATGTGTGCCTGTGTGCGCCTATGTGAGCCTGTGTGCGCCTATGTGTGCGCCTGTGTGCGCCTATGTGTGCCTGTGTGCGCCTATGTGTGCCTGTGTGCGCCTATGTGTGCCTGTGTGCGCCTATGTGTGCCTGTGTGCGCCTATGTGTGCCTGTGTGCGCCTATGTGTGCTTGTGTGCGCCTATGTGTGCGCCTGTGTGCGCCTATGTGCGCCTGTGTGCGCCTATGTGTGCCTGTGTGCGCCTATGTGTGCCTGTGTGCGCCTATGTGTGCCTGTGTGCGCCTATGTGTGCCTGTGTGCGCCTATGTGTGCCTGTGTGCGCCTATGTGTGCCTGTGTGCGCCTATGTGTGCCTGTGTGCGCCTATGTGTGCCTGTGTGCGCCTATGTGTGCCTGTGTGCGCCTATGTGTGCCTGTGTGCGCCTATGTGTGCCTGTGTGCGCCTATGTGTGCCTGTGTGCGCCTATGTGTGCCTGTGTGCGCCTATGTGTGCCTGTGTGTGCCTGTGTGCTCCTATGTGTGCCTGTGTGCGCCTATGTGTGCCTGTGTGCGCCTATGTGTGCCTGTGTGCGCCTATGTGTGCCTGTGTGCGCCTATGTGTGCCTGTGTGCCCCTCTGTTCTTCTGCTGCTTCAAAGTCCACGCCTTTTCCACCCGCGCCACCACCCACCACCCACCACCACCGCTTTCATGGATGGAATTTCTCTGTCCTGTGCTCGGCTTGCGTTGTGCTTGGCGTGTCTTGTGCCCTCTCCTCTGGCCTTCTGTGTGACGTCATCCATCCATACTCACCAATGCTTTCCACGCTGCAGGAGCTTTACCGGCATCACCGAATTTCCGGACAACCCACTCTACAACATCACGTGGCTCGAGGCGCTGTGAGTTGTTGTGACAGGCCAACACAAGCAAGGTTAGGCAGCGAGTAGCGCATTCATTAGTCGACTCCTAAAGCGAGTAGGGCAACAAGATTGAGGCTTGAGCCCACAGAGCGGATGGGATGGGAGGACGCTTGCCAAGTTAGGCTGGGCCACAAGGGGCTTACAAATTGGTTTTTCTTGCCAATTCTGATGTTTTCATCTATTCTGTATGACGTTAATTCGAGTAACGTTGTCCTTGCTATTTTCTATTCTGCACATATTGTTCTTCCTTGCCGAATGTGTGCCCTGAGCGTTGAGGCGCCTATGACGGAAGGATTATGTATGATGGCGAGCATTAGAAGTACTCGTGCATTTGTTTTACTCCATGCGTGTGCATGTGCATGTGCTTCTGCATGTGCATGTGCTTCTGCATGTGCATGCGCTTCTGCATGTGCATGTGCTTCTGCATGTGCATGCGCTTCTGCATGTGCATGTGCTTCTGCATGTGCATGCGCTTCTGCATGTGCATGTGCTTCTGCATGTGCATGCGCTTCTGCATGTGCATGTGCTTCTGCATGTGCATGCGCTTCTGCATGTGCATGTGCTTCTGCATGTGCATGCGCTTCTGCATGTGCATGTGCTTCTGCAGGTCAGTGGAGTGTGTTCCGGGCGGTGTTGTCAACGAGACCTTTCCTTCCACCATTTCCAACCTCGCGCAGCTCACCAGACTGTACGCCATTGCATGCATGCACCATTGCGTGCATGCGCCACTGCATGCATGCGCCACTGCATGCATGCGCCACTGCATGCATGCGCCACTGCATGCGCCACTGCATGCGCCATTGCGTGCGCCATTTCATGCGCCACTGCATGCGCCATTTCATGCGCCACTGCATGCGCCATTGCTATGGGAACGCATGCTTTTGAGAAAACACGGTGTGTACTTGCTTGACGGCATGCATTAAGGGCGATGCCCAAGAAATGCCGTGTGATACCATTGCATGCTTACCAAGTTTGAAAGAGCTGGTCTATCTGTTACAGGATGGCATGGCATGGCATGGCATGGCATGGCATGGCATGGCATGGCATGGCATGGCATGGCATGGCATGGCATGGCATGGCATGGCATGGCATGGCATGGCATGGCATGGCATGGCATGGAATGGCATGGCATGGCATGGCATGGCATGGAATGGCATGGCATGGCATGGCATGGCATGGCATGGCGTGGCATGGCATGGCATGGCATGGCATGGAATGGCATGGCATGGCATGGCATGGCATGGAATGGCATGGCATGGCATGGCGTGGCATGGCATGGCATGCAAGGAGCACGTCATGGCTTCCTTCCTTCTGATTCTTGCTGCCCCAAGGACTCATTCAAAGCTCCAGCGCTTCCCTGCTTGCCTCGCCTGCGGTGGCGTGCAGGAGAGTGAAGGACTGCAGCATGGGCACCAACGGCGGCTTCTCAATGCTCAGCTCACTCACCAGCCTCGTGGATGTGTAAGCACTGCTCTCATGCACTCATCACATGCACTCCCCACGTGCACACCTCCACACACTCCTCATCGCATGAGCACCAACGGTGCCTTGCCTTCTCGGTGCTCAGCTCTCTCACCAGCCTCGTGGATGTGTGCTCTCATGCTCAGCTCTCTCACCAGCCTCGTGGATGTGTGCTCTCATGCTCAGCTCTCTCACCAGCCTCGTGGATGTGTGCTCTCATGCTCAGCTCTCTCACCAGCCTCGTGGATGTGTGCTCTCATGCTCAGCTCTCTCACCAGCCTCGTGGATGTGTGCTCTCATGCTCAGCTCTCTCACCAGCCTCGTGGATGTGTGCTCTCATGCTCAGCTCTCTCACCAGCCTCGTGGATGTGTGCTCTCATGCTCAGCTCTCTCACCAGCCTCGTGGATGTGTGCTCTCATGCTCAGCTCTCTCACCAGCCTCGTGGATGTGTGCTCTCATGCTCAGCTCTCTCACCAGCCTCGTGGATGTGTGCTCTCATGCTCAGCTCTCTCACCAGCCTCGTGGATGTGTGCTCTCATGCTCAGCTCTCTCACCAGCCTCGTGGATGTGTGCTCTCATGCTCAGCTCTCTCACCAGCCTCGTGGATGTGTGCTCTCATGCTCAGCTCTCTCACCAGCCTCGTGGATGTGTGCTCTCATGCTCAGCTCTCTCAATGCACAGCCTTCTCAAGCACTGCTCTCATGTGCTGTGCACGCCCCACATGCACTCCCCACCCTTGGCTGGCCCAACCTCTGCCCTTCCCCACCCACCCCTGCTCTTCCACCCACCCCTGCTCTTCCACCCACCCCTGCTCTTCCACCCACCTCTGCCATTCCACACCTCGTGGCCACACATCTTCCCCCACTCCTGCATCCTAGGCCATATTCCCTTCTCTGCTCCTACTCCCTTCTTCAGGTCCTTTCCTTTGCGCCTTTTCCCTGCATGCTCTGCCGTGGCTTCTACCTCCTCGTCCTCCTCCCATTCAGCAAGCTGCTATGCAATTAAACGGCATCTCGGGTCTATTGGCACTTCACACCTGCATCTTACGCTATGTTCCCTTCTCTGCTCCTACTGCCTCTCCCTCCCCCTCTTGCTGTGCTTTCTTCCCCACATTCTCCACCTTGGCCTTTCTCGCCCCGTCCTCCTCCCCTTCAGCGAGCTGCCATCCAACGGTGTCTTGGATCTATCGTCCCTTCACGGACTGGGCTTCGCCAAACTCCAGAATCTGTATGGTTTCTCACCGTTCGCTTTCTGATACTGTTTGCAGCCACGCAAGCGGGACATAGCTCCTAGTGTGTGCATGTGCATGTGCATGTGCATGTGCATGTGCATGTGCATGCACACTCTCTGTGCTACAATTTTCATTCACGCTCTCTGTCGCTTTGCATGCACGCTATGTTCTCTGTGCCCTCCCACACCCCTCCGTTGCCCCTTCTATCTACTGACCCTCCCACTCGCCGCACGGCAGCAATCTGAGCGCCAATACGCTGCAGTCCAACCGCCTCTTGGACCTGAACAGCCTCACCAGCCTCACGTCCCTGTGAGTATTTACGAGTCGTCCCTGTGAGCCGCACACACTGCGGTCCGGCCAGCTCCCAGGCCTGAGCAACCTCACCAGCCTCACACCCTGCGAGTAGCAAACACCTCGGAGCGGCGGTTGGGACTCGGGACATGTGCCATGCACATTGAAGGGGGCACATTGAAGGGGGCACATTGAAGGGGGCACATTGAAGGGGGCACATTGAAGGGGGCACATTGGAAGGGGCACATTGAAGGGGGCGCATTGAAGGGGGCACATTGGAGGGGGCACCACTTCAAGGTCTTGTCGTTACGTGGCAGCGGCTTCTTGTTCAGAGTAGCATACTATAGGGTGCTTGCTTGCTGTGAGAAGGCATGCTGGAGAGGAGCAGCCGGGACATGTGCCATGCACGTGTCATTGTGTCATGCACGTGTCATTGTGTCATGCACGTGTCATGCACGTGCCATGCATGTGTCATGCATGTTCACACAATCAGCAAGCACAGTACGGGTAGTAGTAGCACATACAGCATAGTGGCTGCCTTGTCTCGCTTTGCCTCATACGCCTCCACTCCCACCGCTTATGTGTGCTGCTTGTTTCCTCTCCTGTCATGCTGAATCCGCTACTGTGCATGGCATTGCTGCTCGTTGGGGATGGCACCATGGGGATGGCATCATGGGGATGGTATGCTATGCCATGCCATGCATGCATGCCTGTCCTCAGGGATATGTCACACAATAGGCTCGAGGGTGATCAGCTGCTGCAGCGGATAACCCTGCCCAGCCTGCACTTTCTGTAAGTCCCTCTTTGAGTATTAACAGAAACCACTGCCTTTCTACTGATAATACACGTGATTCATCGAATCCTTGCCCCTGCGTGTGTGGCTTTGTGTGACCGTGCAAAAAGGCACACCTTCTTTGTGTGGCATCGAGCTGCCAGCTGCCAGCACCAGTGCACTTATGTGTTCTCTACTGTTCGCTCCCTTGCCAGCTGTTGCCTGCCAGGTTAAATCTCCCTCCTTTCATGGTCATGCCCCCATGCCATGCTTTATCTGCCCATATCCCCATGCCCCTCATGCCATGCGCATAGCTCCCCGTTATGCCATGCAGATACCTCCCCGTCATGCCATGCCCATGCCTCTCTCTCACACAACCAACCCATCTTCTGAGGCATGAGGGAGAGGAGAAGCGTCAGTGCCTTCGCATGCCTCCCACCCACTGTGTCCTCGTCACTGCAGGGATCTCTCTCACAACCAGCTCAGTGGATTCCTCCCGGAATCCTTCACAACCATGACTTCACTGGATACCCTGTGAGCCCCTTTGACCCCTCTGTGTGTCACTTTGACCCCTCTGTGTCACTTTCACCTCTATGTGTCACTTTGACCCCTCTGTGTCACTTTCACCTCTACGTGTCACTTTGACCCCTCTGTGTCACTTTCACCTCTACGTGTCACTTTGACCCCTCTGTCACTTTCACCTCTACGTGTCACTTTGACCCCTCTGTGTCACTTTCACCTCTATGTGTCACTTTGACCCCTCTGTGTCACTTTCACCTCTACGTGTCACTTTGACCCCTCTGTGTCACTGGTCATGTGTCGCTGGCAATGTCACCATGTGTATTAGGCGCTTGTTACTGCCTCTTTTGCTACTGCTTCCCTATCCGTCCATCTGCTGCCGTTGCAGCTGCTGCTAATCTGCACGCTGCTGCTGCTGTAGCTGCACTACTGCTGGTGAAAGTCCTATACGTATTGATGAAGATCCTTAAGTTCGTCTCACGTACCTTCCCCATACCCTACCACCATACATACATACATACATACATACATACATACATACATACATACATACATACATACATACATACATACATACATACATACATACATACATACATACATACATACATACATACATACATACATACATACATACATACATACATACATACATACATACATACATAGAAACATGCCCTCCCACGTGCTATCAAGTTGCGTCTTCTGGCAAAACTAGAGCTTCAGAACCCTCCTGTCTCTCAATCTTCCTCCCAGCCTTCCACCATTGTGCTTTCATCTCCCGTTGCGTGCTCAGGTCTCTCTCAACGCTCCACAGGTTGTCCGTCCCAACCTTGAGGCCTCAGCACCTCTCCACAGCTCTTAGCTTCCGCACATCCCTCCTCCTTGCCACTCTTATGGCACGGAACAAGTTAGCTGGTTTTTCAGTATGTCTGGTAACAAGATTCGGAATCTCCCATGCTTTCCATGCGGCACAGAGACGTGGGTTTCAACAAGCTGCAAGGAACCATCCCCCCCTCGTTTGGAAGCCTGAACAACCTCTCAACTCTGTGAGTGTTCTTTTAAGACTGGACTGCACACAGCACGCAGCACACAGCACACCAGCGCACAGCACACAGCACACACCACACACCACACAGCACAGCACACAGCACATAGCTCACACCACACACTACACAGCACAGCACAGCTATGATTGCTGCTTGAAGGGGAGTGATTCGTCAGGAGAGAATGAGCACGTCTGTGCGCGGATATGTGGTGGAGTGGGGTGGAGCGGAGTAGAGTGGGGTGGAGTGGGGTGGAAAAGGCAATGAGCTTCTTGCTTTAAGGGGGCGGAATCATGGCGAGGCAATGAGCGCGTCTGCATTCTTCCCTGGCTCCCGTCCCCGTGACCCCATCAGCTCCAACAGCAGCACCACTTTTATGTGCTCTGGATGCAGAACGCTTCGTTTGAGGCGCCTCAAACTTCTCATACCCTGCCTGCTCCGTACCCCCCATCAGTGCCACCGGCAGCACCTCTCTCGCGTGCCCTGACCGCTACAGCAGCTGCGGTGTGCCTCAGTATCCATCTACTGGCTTCTGCCGAAAATGCGCTGACTTCTGCACTTCATGTGAGTGTCACCCCACCCAGTCACTCCAGCCAGTCACCCCAGCCAGTCACCCCAGCCAGTCACCCCAGCCAGTCACCCCAGCCAGTCACCCCACCCAGTCACCCCAGCCAGTCACCCCAGCCAGTGCGCGGAGTGTGCCGAGTGAACACGCTAACGTGGTTGCACGTTCTCGTGTATTTGCAGGCGACAAGTCCCAGCTGACGGGGAAGGCGGGAGTGTCTGTGGGAGCAATCGTCGGAGCCGTGGTTGCTGCCTGTGCTGCTCTCCTGGGCCTGGCCTTGATCCTCTACTACTGCTGCTTCAACGCACGGCAACAGACAGGTACTGAGCGCAGTGCACAGCACACTACAGGCAACCAGGGAAAGCCGGAGTGGAGGAAGGCGGGGCCGATTGCCATGGTCTGTGGGAGCGATTGCCGGGGCCGTGCCATGGTTGCTGTGTATGCTGTTGTTCTGGGCTGGGTCTGGGTAGGCTCTTCCGTTCTACTACTGCTGCCTTAGTGGGCAGTGACAGAAGGTGCTTCGCACATGGCTGCACTGCACACTGTTGCACACCCCCGACTGCTCCACAGGAGCGCAAGCAAGGTCCCTAGTGCTCCAAATCTCCCCCCTTGTGCCTCGCCTTCCCCCCCCCCTCTCACCAGCCTTAATGAGCAGCAGAGCAGCATCGCAGGCATGTCAGGAGTACCCACCACAGCACGTGGTGAGGGCGACCAACGGGTGGAGCGAGGCGAACCTTCTGGGCAGGGGCGCCAACAAGCTCCCTGGTGCTCCGAATCACCTCCTCTGCCACCCCACCCCCTTCATCTCTCATCTCCATCTCCTCACCAGTCTTAATGAGCAGCAGGGCAGCGTCACAGGCATGTCAGGAGTACCCACTACAGCAGGTGGTGAAGGCGACCAATGGGTGGAGCGAGGAGAACCTGCTGGGCAGGGGCGCGTTTGGAGACGTGTACCGTGCTGTGTCTCCCGCTGATGGGACCACCCTGTGGGCTGTGAAGCGCGCCAAGCTTATTACTAACGACTTTGACACTGAGGTATGCTGGCGTGGTGTGGTGTGGTGTGGTGTGGTCTGGTCTGGTCTGGTCTGGTCTGGTCTGGTCTGGTCTGGTCTGGTCTGGTCTGGTCTGGTCTGGTCTGGTCTGGTCTGGTGTCTATTGGGGTGCTGCAAATGTCCTCTCCAGCTGATGGCGCCACCCTGTGGGCTGAAGCGCGCCAAGCTCATCACGAATGGCTTTGACACCGAGGTTTGTGTGCGTGTGGGTGTAGCTGTGGTGTGGTGTGCAAGGTGTCCTTCGCACTGCATTACAGACGCACACACACGCTCTCATAATATGTTATGTGTTGTGGTGTGATGCAGTGCTTAGAAGACCTTCCACCGTGAGCCTTGCACTATGCCTCACGATGCACTATGCCTCACGATGCACTATGCCTCACGATGCACTATGCCTCACGATTCACTATGCCTCACGATTCACTATGTTACGATCTTGTTTTTTTGCACTGGCAACAAAGAGTTCAACTCCACTGTCGTTCTTCCGCTTAAGTTTTTTTCTAAGCTGCAGTTCGCCCAGTCGTCATGGCTGAAGGTACTTAGGAGACCTTCCATTCCACCGTGTGCCTTGGTGACTCTTGAGTTGACTCTAAAGTCACCGTATCCAGTGCTTGGGAGACCTTTCACCGTGTGCCTTGCACTATGCCTCACGATTCAGTAGTGGGTATCGTAACAAGGGCAAGGCTGGGCGGTAACAAAGGCGTACAACAGATTATGAGAGAGAGCGTGTTTGTGTGTCCTTCCAATCTCTGCTGCTCCTGGCAGGTGTGCCAAATGGCCACGAAGCACCACCCCAACCTGGTGCGCCTATTGGGGTTCGCCATAGGCATCACGGACAAGACCAGGGTGGAGCAGGTCCTCATCTACGAGCTCATGTCGAATGGGGACCTCTCGCACTGGATGGGCAAAGGTGCGCATTGTGTTGTGAATGGATTCAACAGGTGTGTGTTGAGTCGGGTCATAACATGCCGTAGGCATCACGGACAAGACACGTGTGGATTGTGTTGCGAATGGATCAGGTCTTGCTCCGCGTGCCATAGCAAGACCTGATCTACGAGCTCATGCCCAACCGGGACCTCTCACACTGGATGGGCACAGGAGTGCATTATGATTTAGATTGCCGGCACATGTGTGAGTCGGATAGAAGACTTATTGAGTTGTGTTTCACCTCCCCCTTCCCTCTTATTGAGTTGTGTTTCACCTCCCCCTTCCCTCTTAGTGCCGCCATCCCTGGGCACATGCGTGTATACTCTGTTTCTCTCCCAGTACTCTCTTCTCATCAACCACCCATCCTCATCACGCGTGCTCTCCAGATGGCCCCATGCCGCTGACTTTCCAGCAGCGCGTGGACATGCTGCTCGTAGTGACTTTTGAGTCGACTCAAAAGTCACCTCTTTCCAGCAGCGCGTGGACATGCTGCTCGTAGTGACTTTTGAGTCGACTCAAAAGTCACATCTTTCCAGCAGCGCGTGGACATGCTGCTCGTAGTGACTTTTGAGTCGACTCAAAAGTCACATCTTTCCAGCAGCGCGTGGACATGCTGCTCGTAGTGACTTTTGAGTCGACTCAAAAGTCACCTCTTTCCAGCAGCGCGTGGACATGCTGCTCGTAGAGACTTTTGAGTCGACTCAAAAGTCACCTCTTTCCAGCAGCGCGTGGACATGCTGCTCGTAGTGACTTTTGAGTCGACTCAAAAGTCACCTCTTTCCAGCAGCGCGTGGACATGCTGCTCGTAGTGACTTTTGAGTCGACTCAAAAGTCACCTCTTTCCAGCAGCGCGTGGACATGCTGCTCGTAGTGACTTTTGAGTCGACTCACAAGTCACCTCTTTCCAGCAGCGCGTGGACATGCTGCTCGTAGTGACTTTTGAGTCGACTCACAAGTCACCTCTTTCCAGCAGCGCGTGGACATGCTGCTCGTAGTGACTTTTGAGTCGACTCAAAAGTCACCTCTTTCCAGCAGCGCGTGGACATGCTGCTCGTAGTGACTTTTGAGTCGACTCAAAAGTCACCTCTTTCCAGCAGCGCGTGGACATGCTGCTCGTAGTGACTTTTGAGTCGACTCACAAGTCACCTCTTTCCAGCAGCGCGTGGACATGCTGCTCGTAGTGACTTTTGAGTCGACTCAAAAGTCACCTCTTTCCAGCAGCGCGTGGACATGCTGCTCGTAGTGACTTTTGAGTCGACTCAAAAGTCACCTCTTTCCAGCAGCGCGTGGACATGCTGCTCGTAGTGACTTTTGAGTCGACTCACAAGTCACCTCTTTCCAGCAGCGCGTGGACATGCTGCTCGTAGTGACTTTTGAGTCGACTCAAAAGTCACCTCTTTCCAGCAGCGCGTGGACATGCTGCTCGTAGTGACTTTTGAGTCGACTCAAAAGTCACCTCTTTCCAGCAGCGCGTGGACATGCTGCTCGTAGTGACTTTTGAATCGACTCAAAAGTCACCTCTTTCCAGCAGCGCGTGGACATGCTGCTCGTAGTGACTTTTGAGTCGACTCAAAAGTCACCTCTTTCCAGCAGCGCGTGGACATGCTGCTCGTAGTGACTTTTGAGACGACTCAAAAGTCACCTCTTTCCAGCAGCGCGTGGACATGCTGCTCGTAGTGACTTTTGAGTCGACTCAAAAGTCACCTCTTTCCAGCAGCGCGTGGACATGCTGCTCGTAGTGACTTTTGAGTCGACTCAAAAGTCACCTCTTTCCAGCAGCGCGTGGACATGCTGCTCGTAGTGACTTTTGAGTCGACTCACAAGTCACCTCTTTCCAGCAGCGCGTGGACATGCTGCTCGTAGTGACTTTTGAGTCGACTCAAAAGTCACCTCTTTCCAGCAGCGCGTGGACATGCTGCTCGTAGTGACTTTTGAGTCGACTCAAAAGTCACCTCTTTCCAGCAGCGCGTGGACATGCTGCTCGTAGGGGCTGCCTGCTCGTAAGGGCTGCCATTTGAGGCCCCTCAAAAAAAGTGCATTCTCCTCACAGGGGTTGCCAGGGGTTTGAGTCTCCTTGAGCCATCAATCTTGAGCACACACATTGATACTCCCTGGCTCCCTTCCCTTTGCTACCTCCTTTCACTTTCAAACCCCCCATCCCCATCACGCGTGCCCTCCAGATGCCCCCACGCCACTGACCTTCCAGCAGCGCGTGGACATTCTCATAGGGGCTGCTCGGGGCTTTGAGTACCTTCACAGCTTTGGCATCGTGCACCGCGATATCAAGCCTGCTAACATATTGCTGGATGGGAACATGCAGGTGCGCGTGTGGGTGTGTGGGTGTGGGTGTATATGTACATACGTGTGTGTGTGCATGATCTGACCATACATTGTTATGCCATGTGCATGATCTGATCATACATTGCTATGCCATGTGCATGATCTGATCATACATTGTTATGCCATGTGCATGATCTGATCATACATTGCTATGCCATGTGCATGATCTGATCATACATTGCTATGCCATGTGCATTCTGATCATAAATTGTTATGCCATGTCCATGATCTGATAATACATTGTTATGCCATGTGCATGATCTGATCATACATTGCTATGCCATGTGCATGATCTGATCATACATTGTTATGCCATGTGCATGATCTGATCATACATTGCTATGCCATGTGCATGATCTGATCATACATTGTTATGCCATGTGCATGATCTGATCATACATTGCTATGCCATGTGCATGATCTGACCATACATTGCTATGCCATGTGCATGCTCTGATCATAAATTGTTATGCCATGTGCATGATCTGATCATACATTGTTATGCCATGTGCATGCTCTGATCATAAATTGTTATGCCATGTGCACGATCTGATCATACATTGTTATGCCATGTGCATGATCTGATCATACATTGTTATGCCATGTGCATGATCTGATCATACATTGCTATGCCATGTGCACTCTGATCATAAATTGTTATGCCATGTCCATGATCTGATCATACATTGCTATGCCATGTGCATGATCTGATCATACATTGCTATGCCATGTGCATGCAGGCTAAGATTTCGGACTTTGGGCTGGTGAAGAAGGGAGAAGGCACGGCACTACTGAGCACAAGAGTGGTGGGAACACCGGGCTATGTGGACCCCGCATATGCTGCTTCCAATAAGGCCACCACTGCCGCAGATGTGTACAGGTGAGCAATGGTGTTTGTAGGTGTGACATGGTCTGAAGGTGAGCAATGGCACTGAAGTTTTCCATGAAGCTTGTATTGAGAACTTCATGTGTTTGTTGAGGGACCCCCATGCAACACAAGAAGGGGGGTGGCGCTTCATTTAGGAGTAAATCGACAAGGGCCTTCTTCAAGTGAATCGACAAGGGCGTGGCTTGACCATCACTTGAAGAAGTTCTGCTTGAAGCGTTGCTTCCACGTGCTTGCATTCTCTTGTACTGTGCGCCTGCATGTGCAGCTTCGGCGTGGTGATGCTGGAGCTAATGACGGGGCGGCAGGGTCAAGGTGTGTAGGTGTGCAACAGCCTAGCACTTCTGAAAAACATGTGTCGAACACTCTGTTTGTCCCGTGTGCCTGCATGTGCAGCTTCGGCGTGGTGATGCTGGAGCTAATGACGGGGCGGGCAGCCGTGCAGGAGTCGCCAGCCCCTGGCGCTGATGAGGAGGGCCACTGCCTCCTGACCATCGTCTCCTGGGTGAGCTGCTGTTTGACGGACGTAAGTTCGTTTTTGCTAACAGAGTCGAAACTTCAGTGGTGTCCATCGCCCCTGGCGCTGATGAGGAGGGCCACTGCCCCATGACCATCGTCTCCTGGGTGAGTTGTTGTTCTTCAGATGTAGCAAAGTTATAGAACCGCATCCATGCTTTGCAACGAATTCCATCTACTGCTGATGATGAGGCCAACTGCCCCCTCACCTGACCATTGTATTCTGAGTGAGTTCTTATTCTTCTGATGTAAGTAACTGATTCAAAAGTTCTGCCGCACAATTTATTTCCCTGCTGAATGGTGGTGTTTCTAGCACTGTTGAAGAGGCGAATTGACTGGTGAACATCATTTGTTGGGAGGGTTGCTCCTCATTCCAAACCCCTCAAACACCTTTTCCTGTTGAAGTTTTTCCCTGTAGTGTGTCTCTCCGCCTTGATATATCTCTTTTATAACTCGTTACATTAGGTTCAACAGCAGCTGCCTCCATGCGGCAGTGCGCTGCGGTGCACAGCGAGGCACACTGTCGCCCGGCCTGATATGGGTATGTGGTTGCAGCATAGCTGGGCGCGGTCATGGTGGAGTCTGGTGATCCACACTTCATCTAGTGTCTGCCCTTCTTCTGCAGTTGTGAGACGTCTCAAAACTACACTTCTTTCTCATGGTCATGGTGGAGTCTGGAGATCCACACTTCATCTAGTGTCTGCCCTTCTTCTGCAGTTGTGAGACGTCTCAAAACTACACTTCTTTCTCATGGTCATGGTGGAGTCTGGTGATCCACACTTCATCTAGTGTCTGCCCTTCTTCTGCAGTTGTGAGGCGTCTCAAAACTACACTTCTTTCTCATGGTCATGGTGGAGTCTGGTGATCCACACTTCATCTAGTGTCTGCCCTTCTTCTGCAGTTGTGAGACGTCTCAAAACTACACTTCTTTCTCATGGTCATGGTGGAGTCTGGTGATCCACACTTCATCTAGTGTCTGCTTTTCTTCTGCAATTGTGAGACTTCTCAAAACTACACTTCTTTCTCACGGTCATGGTGGAATCTGGTGATCCACACTTCATCTAGTGTCTGCCCTTCTTCTGCAGTTGTGAGACGTCTCAAAACTACACTTCTTTCTCACGGTCATGGTGGAGTCTGGTGATCCACACTTCATCTAGTGTCTGCCCTTCTTCTGCAGTTGTGAGACGTCTCAAAACTACACTTCTTTCTCACGGTCATGGTGGAGTCTGGTTATCCTCACTTCATCTAGTGTCTGCCCTTCTTCTGCACTTGTGAGACGTCTCAAAACTACACTTCTTTCTCACGGTCATGGTGGAGTCTGGTGATCCACACTTCATCTAGTGTCTGCCCTTCTTCTGTAGTTGTGAGACGTCTCAAAAATACACTTCTTTCTCACGGTCATGGTGGAGTCTGGTGATCCACACTTCATCTAGTGTCTGCCCTTCTTCTGCAGTTGTGAGACGTCTCAAAACTACACTTCTTTCTCACGGTCATGGTGGAGTCTGGTGATCCACACTTCATCTAGTGTCTGCCCTTCTTCTGCAGTTGTGAGACGTCTCAAAACTACACTTCTTTCTCACGGTCATGGTGGAGTCTGGTGATCCACACTTCATCTAGTGTCTGCCCTTCTTCTGCAGTTGTGAGACGTCTCAAAACTACACTTCTTTCTCACGGTCATGGTGGAGTGTGGTGATCCACACTTCATCTAGTGTCTGCCCTTCTTCTGCAGTTGTGAGACGTCTCAAAACTACACTTCTTTCTCACGGTCATGGTGGAGTCTGGTGATCCACACTTCATCTAATGTCTGCCCTTCTTCTGCAGTTGTGAGACGTCTCAAAACTACACTTCTTTCTCACGGTCATGGTGGAGTCTGGTGATCCACACTTCATCTAGTGTCTGCCCTTCTTCTGCAGTTGTGAGACGTCTCAAAACTACACTTCTTTCTCACGGTCATGGTGGAGTCTGGTGATCCACACTTCATCTACTGTCTGCCCTTCTTCTGCCTTCTTCTGCCTGGCAATCCTTTGAGGACGTCTGCTTCTATTATTCCTGCATTCAACCGTGTGTCATCAGGTGGAGCCGCAGTTCCAACAGCACTCAGCAGCAGCCAGCCTTTGGTCTCAAGGACCCGCGATTGGGGGCACAGGAGAGCCTTGTGCTAGCCGTGGTGCCGTTGCCCCGGAAGCCTGAAATCCATACCATTTGCCTCCCCTGAACCCTTCCTTTTCACAACAGGTGGGGCAGCAGCTACAAAAATCCAGCAACGGCCCAGTACCTGGTCTTCAGGACCCGCGCATGGAAGCTCGGGACGACCTCGTGCTGGCTGTGGTGCAGCTGGCGCTGCGGTGCACTGCCAGGCGCACTGCCGCCCGGCCGGACATGGGCACGATCGCAACAGAGCTGAGTGCGGTGATGGCGCAGTTGGGGGGTTCTAAGAGGAATACAGCGGCGAAGGAGGTGGACAGGCAGATGGAGGAGTTTGAACCCGCGAGAAGCATGGAAGAGGAATTTGCTCGGATAAATGCCCGGTTCCAAGGTAATCAAAGTGACTCGTACGCTCGCTTATACCTGGTTTGAGTGCAGTGATGGTGGAGCTTGGGGGGTCGAGAAGGAATGCAGCAGCGGAGGAGGTGGATAGAAAGATGGAGGTCAAACCCATGAGAAGCATGGAGGAGGAGTTTGCATGGATAACAGCCAGGTCGCAGGGTGGTCAAAGTGACTTGTACGTTCGACTTGACGAGTCTCGAGTATAGAAAACCCAATTAGGGGCTTACTCTATGTGGTGGTGTGAGGTTTTGCCATTTTATTTGTTATTTATTCTGATAAGCTCGAAGGCGGTTTTGCAACCCTGCTTTGCTCAGTAGATTGCTCTCTTAATGGCAGCTAACCCAATTTAACAAAGAGTTAGAGCAAAGATTATTGTAACGCTTGGACTTTCGTGTTACCCGGTTCTTTGTTCGCCTCGAGTCAGTTTCCAGTTTCCCAGCGAGTGATGGTTACTCACATAGAGCCATCATCACATACAATTGTCATGCGGGCTCGCAACAACCAAGTATCCTTGGTGTGGTGCGAGTGTGACAGCAGGAAAAATGGTCAGTGGACCTGCGCATTCCTGTCAATTTGACTAGCCCTAGCTGATTTCCGCGTCGCGCTAGTTCACAACTCGCCACTTAGTAACGCGGTAGTTAGATAAATTGTGTCCAAACGTGATATTTGCTTCTTCTGTTCCCTGGTTTCCGCCGTGGCATCATCGTACGTTCGTTGCAGCAACTATTGGACTATCAGCTACCCTACGACGTACCTTAGTGGACTTAAGAAAGGAACCATCTTTGCGAACCGGATGGTCTCGCAGCGCCTTTTTAAACTTCTTGACGAGTTGTGCTAGAGCGAAACGTGTCGCAACCGGAGGCCGCAGTACCTACGGGTAGGAAGGACGAACAAGGCAATACGCGCATAAATATTTAAATAACCCTGAAAGTTCGTACCACCGCGACACGCCAGCCATGAATCGCGGCGGCAACCCTGCGGCCAACCGCGCCGCGGCGCGCCAACATCATCAGGCGCGGCGCGACGACGACCACCACGAGTCCCCAGCGGCGCCGGCAACGGTCACAAAGCCGGCGCGGCGGCGCGTGGTGATTTCCGCGGCGGAGGTGCGGCGGCTGAACGCGCAAGCGGGGCAGTTGCGCGAGGTGCTGGGGAAGAGCAAGGCGGTGAGCGAGGAGATGATCACTATTCTCAACACCTTCGACGCGCGCCTTACCAACCTCGAAACCGCCATGCGACCTATTCAGGTGCGACGCCGCGAGTGTCGCATGCTCGTCGCACTATGTCGCATGCGCGTGCGAGTGAAAAACTGTGTTATGCAGTCGTGAGGTATGTGCTGTTAGAAATGTGACAGTGGCCGCAAGGCATGATTTTGCTATTAGCCACCCTGCCAGCCTCCGCCTCTTCCTTTCTGACTTTGCTCCATGCACCCATCTCACCCATCTCACCCATCCCCCCATTCCCCCCATCCTCCCCATCCCCCCATCCCCCATCCTCCCCCTCCGTTCCCCGCCAGGCGCGCACGCTGGCGTTCCGCAAGGCGCACGCCAACATCGACGCCACCATCCCCCTATCTCAACCATTCCCCCCTTCCCCATCCCCCTTCCCCTTCCCCCCTTCCGCCCACCTCTGCAGGCGCGCACGCTGGCGTTCCGCAAGGCGCACGCCAACATCGACGCCACCATCCGCGCCGTGGAGACGGTGCTGGATAAGTTTGACATCCCGCAGCAGGTGGGGCGGTATGTTTGGTGGGCACGTGGGGCAGGTTGCTGGTAGGTACAGACGGCTGCAGGTGCATCTGCAGCTACAGACGGTGGTGCACCGCAACAGTCAAAAAGTCCACATCTTCCTTCCTTCCTTCCTTCCTTCCTTCCTTCCTTCCTTCCTTCCTTCCTTCCTTCCCTCCCTCCCATTTGTTCTGTGACAGGTGGAGCAGAGCATACGGCCCTCGGCAGGATCTAGAAGCATGTCTAGCAGCGATGGACGTGCTGCAGAAGGAGGCACTGCTGTTCTTCCACTCATACCGCAACTACCACAAGCTGCCGTCTCTCCTTCCTACATGCCTCACGCATCCCATTCACACACTGTCAAATTTCAGGTTGAACAGCGTTTTAAGGACGGCCGCCGTAGAGACATGGAAGTCCATCTAGCAGCAATGGACGTGCTGCAGGGGGCACTGGCGTTCTTCAACTCTCCCTCACCGCTGCAACAACTGCCCATTCTTTCTGTCCTCCCTTCCTGTCTGCGTTACCCCTCCCACTCACAGGTGGAGCAGCGTATAAAGGACGGCCCTAGGCGCGATCTAGAAGCCCATCTAGCAGCTGTGGACATGCTACAGGAGGCGCTGCTGTTCTTTGACTCGCACCGCAACTACAAGTCTTTTGCATCCTCCCCACCCACCCACATGCTTCACTTCGCCTCCCCCTCGCTTGGCAGGTGGAGCAGCGGATCAAAGACGCCCCCCGTAGAGATTTGGAGGCGTATCTAGCAGCGGTGGACATGCTGCAGGAGGCACTGCTGTTCTTTGACTCGCACCGCGACTACCAATCCTCTGCGTCCTTCCTTCCTCCTTTCCGTCCCAAACCTCCAATGATTCACCAAACAGGTTGAGCAAAGGATCAAGGACGGCCCTAGGCGGGATCTTGAGGCATACCTAGCAGCAGTGGACATGCTACAGGAGGCTCTACTCTTCTTCGACTCGCACCGCAACTACAAGTCCTCTGAGGGCGCGGCTCTGCAGGCACGTGGGCTGATGAAGGAGGCCATGGGCATGCTTGAAGCGGACTTCCGGCAGCTGCTGGCCAATAACAGGTGGGTGGTAGCGCCGGTGTGCGACAATAGAGGGAGTGGCAGGTTGAAGGGGCGAGGGGGCATGCAGCTTCCCCTGTGCAGGCGCGTGGGCTGATGAATGAAGGAGTCCATGGGCATGCTTGAAGCGGACTTCAGGCAGCTGCGGGCCAATAACAGGTGGGTGCTGTGCGGTGCGTAGGGGTGGTGGGGTGTGGTGTGTGGTAGCAAGCAAGCACTGTTGTCACCATAGCGGACAGCTCGAGGGGGCATGCAGCGGCCCCACTCTGCAGGCGCGTGGGCTGATGAATGAAGGAGGCCATGGGCATGCTTGAAGCGGACTTCCGGCAGCTGCTGGCCAATAACAGGTGGGCGCACGTGATTGTAGCGAAGGTGGGATAGACCTTAAGGAGCTGTGCCCTCGTGCCCCCATGTGATCCTTAAAGATCACACAGGCCATGCCAGAGCTGGCGATCGACTGGCGGGGCTGCCCCCTTGGGATCATTGTGCCCTTTACCTGCTGCCCCTCTTTTCACCTGCTGCCCCTCTTTTCACCTGCTGCCCCTCTTTTCACCTGCTGCCCCTCTTTTCACTGCTGCCCCTCGTCTCTCCATGCTAATAGTCCCTCGTCATCTCCTTCCCCTCTCCCCCCTCCCCCCAACAGCAAGCCCATGGACGTGTTGAAGATCATCAAGGCGATGCCAGAGCTGGGATCGATCTATCTGGCGGGGCTGCCCCCTCCTGATCCCTCTCCCATCCTCTCCCCCTCGCCCCCAACCCCCGCAACTCACTACAGCAAGCCCATGGACGTGCTGAAGATAATAGAAGCGATGCCAGAGCTGGGGATCGATCTCGCAGGGCTGCCCCCACATGCCCCATCCTCTCCCCCCCGCCCCCACTCCCCTCAACTAAACCCCTCAACAGCAAGCCCATGGACGTTCTGAAAATTATCGAAGCGATGCCAGAGCTGGGAATTGATCTGGCAGGGCTGCCCCCACCGGCACAGACGCCGGAGAATCTGATTCCAGGCATCGGACCCAGCAAGGGAGGGAAGGGCCCGCCCGTGCTGCTGCTGCCCACGCTCATAGAGCGGTTGAATGCGGTGGCGAGGAGGATGATTCAGAATGGGGCGGCCTCCGCCTGCACGCGCGTGTACAGGTGTGTGTGTGGGCGAGAGAGGCACGGGTGGGTGGTTGAGTGCGGTGTGGATGGGTGCGAGGGGCATGGGTGGTTGAGTGTCGTGTGGATGGGAGAGAGAGGCGTGGATGGTTGCGTGCGGTATGAACATTAAGTGTGTGTGATCGAGGACAGGGAAGCATCACCACCTCCCAGTTTCTGTCCCTCTCACCATTCCCCCCCAACTTTCCCCCCTACCACTTTGTGCCTTCCCCCCACAGGGAGGTGCGCGGCAACTGCTTGGAGCAGTCGTTGAAGCGCCTGGGCGTGGAGATGGTGACGCGGGACGATGTGCTGCGCATGCAGTGGGAGGAGCTCGAGACCAAAATTGGCAACTGGATCCAGTTCATCAAGATCTGCGTGGGTGGGCAGCAACTCAAAGAGTTGCTGATAGTTAATTTGTCATACTCTCTGTGCGAGTGTGGACCGGTTGTTTTGGTCGACGCCCCCTTATGGGACCGACAACTGGATCCAGTTCATCAAGATCTGCGTGAGTGGCCTCGACTTAAAGCTGCCTATAGTTAATGCGTGAGTGGGCTCGACTTAAAGCTGCCTATAGTTAATGCGTGAGTGGGCTCGACTACACTGTCGGCCGTGAGTGGCGGGCTGGGCCGTAGCCAATGCATGAGTGCACTATTGGTTTGTTTGTCGCCTAGGGCTCTCTCTGTAGGATCGGGACTTTGATCTTGTTTGTCAAACTCTGCGTGAGTCCCCCATCACCCTTACTCCCTGCAGGTCATGCTGCTGCCGCCGTACCACTCACTCCTTACCTCTCCCTGCTCAACCCCTCCCTTCCACCACCCCTCTCTCCCCACAGATGATGCTGGTGTTTCCATTGGAGCGAGAGCTTGCTACCAGGTGTTCGCGGGTCTGGACCCCCACAGGGAGATCTCCTACGCCGAGATGGGCGACCGCGGCCTCTCGCTGCTGCTCTCCTTGCCTTTGCTGCTGCTGCTGCTGCTTCTGCTGCTGCTCTTTCCTCTGCCACTGCTGCTGCTGCACCACTCACTCCTTCCCACCCCTTCCCACTCCCTCCAGATGATGCTGGTGTTTCCCCTGGAAAGGGAGCTATGCTATCAAGTATTCGCAGGCCTGGACCCTCACAGGGAGATCTCCTACGCCGAGATGGGCGACCGCGGCCTCTCCCTGCTGCTCTCATTCGGCGAGGCCATCGCGTCCAGCCAAAAGTCCCCCGAGAAGCTCTTTGTGCTGCTCGACATGTACGAGACCATTCGGGATTCCATGCCCATGGTGAGTCCGCCACTCTCCTTCCTCCCTGAGCCTTGTCTGGGGTGAGGTGAGTGCCTCTCACTCACCCGCGGCCTCTCGCTGCTGCTGTCGTTTGGCGAGGCCATCGCGTCCAGCCAGAAGTCACCTGAGAAGCTCTTTGTGCTGCTCGACATGTACGAGACCATCAGAGACTCCATGCCCATGGTGAGTCTCTTTGCGTCCTTACTGCCCATCTCTTCTCTAGGCAGTCCGCCTCTCTCCCTCCTCCCCATCTCCCCATCTCTCACCTGCTGCTCTTTGTGCTGCTCGACATGTACGAGACCATTCGGGACTCCATGCCCATGGTGAGTCCGCCGCTCTTCTACTCTTATGTCTCCTAAAGGGTTAGTACCGCTCACCTGTTGCTCCCTGTGCTGCTCGACATGTACGACACCATCTGCGACTCCATGCCCATGGTGAGTCTCGTTCTCTCCTTCCTGCCCATCTCCTCTATAGGGTCAGTACCTCTCACCTGCCCTTCTTTGTGCACCTTCATGCCCATGGTGAGCAGCTGTGCGGGGAGTAACAGCGCTCGCTGCAGCGCAGTCTGGCGGAGATCAGCCATACTGTGTTCACCCTTTACCCTCTCCCTCTCCTCCTCCTCCGTCCCCCAGGTCATAGACGCCTTCAAAGGCAACGCGTGCATCCCGTGCCGGGAGTACCTGAGTTCCCTGCAGCGCAGTCTGGCGGAGATCAGCTCCCCCGCCCTCCTTTGTCTGTCCCCTCCCCACCCACCTCCCAGGTAATCGACGCCTTCCCAGGCAACGCATGCATCCCATGCAGGGAGTATCTGCGGTGCCTGCAGCGCAGCCTGGCGGAGATCAGCCGAGACACGTTCAGCGAGTACCTTTTCCCCCCTCCTCCCCCTTCCCCCTTTCCAGGTGATCGATGCCTTCCCGGGCAACGCGTGCATCCCGTGCCGAGAGTACCTGCGGTCGCTGCAGCGCAGCCTGGCGGAGATCAGTCGGGACACGTTCAGCGAGTTTGAGGACGCCGTGGAGAAGGACAGCACACGCACGCCCGTGGCTGACGGGACTGTTCACCCGCTCACCAGCTACGTCATCAACTACGTCAAGTTCCTCTTTGAGTGAGTTGCTTGCGCGTGGTTCAGTGCGGTTCTGTGCGGTTCTGTGAGGTTCTGTGCGTGTTTGTGCGGGCTGTTGGTGACGCCGTGGAGAAGGACAGCACACGCACACCCGTGGCGGACGGCACAGTGCATCCGCTCACCAGCTATGTCACCAACTACGTCAAGTTCCTGTTTGAGTACGTACGGGTCTGTGCGGTTCACTGTGGTTCCATGCAACTCTATGGGTGATGCTGTGGAGAAGGACAGCACGCGCACACCCATCGCTAATGGCACCATGCTCCCGCTCACCAGCCACGTCAAAATAGGGCACAACGTGCAGCGCCGATCCACACGTCTTTTCCCTCCTCATTCTGCCCTTCCTTTAACCCCCTGCTCCTTCCTCACCCAGTTACGAAGGCACATCACGTAAGCTGTCCGAGGAAGCCGAGAAGGACTGGCAGGGCAGGGACTCCTCGCACTAACACCCCCGTCCCCGCCCCACTCTACCCCTCCCTCCCTCCCTTCCACCGCACTACCTCCCACCCAGCTACGAAGTCACCTTGCGACAGCTCTTTGAGGAAGCAGAGAAAGAGAGAGGGGAGAAGGACTGGCAGGGCAGGGACCCTTCTGCTCGGCAGAAGCCGCGGCTGGAGGTGGCGACGCTGCGCATCCTGACAGTGCTGGAGAGCAACCTGGAGGGCGGGAGGGGCGTGCACAGGGAACGAGCGGTTCTCACACCTTTTCTTCCCCTTCCATCGCTCCTCCCCGCCTCCTCTTTCCCCGATCCACCAGTTATGAAGGGACGTTACGGCAACTCTTTGAAGAGGCAGAGAAGGAGAGGGGAGAGAAGGACTGGCAGGGCGGGGACCCGTCGGCACGGCAGAAGCCGCGGCTGGAGGTGGCGACGCTGCGCATCCTGACAGTGCTGGAGAGCAACCTGGAGGCCAAGGCCAAGCTGTACAAGGACCTCGCGCTCACACAGCTCTTCCTCATGAACAACAAGCACTACATCGTTCGGTCTATTCGCAAGTGAGTGGGATGCTGTGCGGTGCCGTGCGGTGCGGTGCTGTGTGCGGTGCAATGCGGTGCTGTATTGGAGGCAAGGCCAAGCTGTACAAGGACCTCGCTCTCACACAGCTCTTCCTCATGAACAACAAGCACTACATCGTTCGCTCCATCCGCAAGTGAGTGCTGTGCTGTGCAATGCGGTTCTCTGACTGGAGGCGAAGGTGAAGCTGTACAAGGACCTGGCGCTCACACAGCTGTTCCTCATGAACAACAAGCACTACATCGTTCGCTCCATCCGCAAGTGAGTGGAGGTACTGCACTGCACCACACTGCAGCACGCTGCAACGCGCTGCACCGCACTGCACCGCACTGCGCTGCGCATCCTGACAGTGCTGGATAGCAACCTGGAGGCCAAGGCGAAGCTCTACAACTACAAGGACCTCGCTCTGACGCAGCTGTTTCTGATGAACAACAAACACTACATCGTGCGCTCCATCCGCAAGTCAGTGGAGAAGTGGTAGTTTAGCTGCGCAAATGCAGCTGTCTGTAACTGCTCATCAAGTTCCACCTCTGCCTGCTGCTTTTCTGAGGCGCCTCAAAGGACGAATTTTAAGACGCCTCAAAAACTGCTCATCAAGTTCCACTCCGCCTGCTGCTTTCTGTCCTTTCTTCCCTTCGGCGCCCCTCCCCCCCCCCCCCCCCCCGTGCAGGTCGGAGCAGGCGAGGCAGCTGGTGGGGGAGGAGTGGATTCAGCGGCATCGCAAGATAGTGCAGCAGCACCAGGCCATGTACCAGAAACTGGCGTGGAGCAAGGTGGGTGAGAGGCCTGTTGGGGGGGAAGGAAACGGCATGCGGGGGAGAGGAGAGACTGTGCATGGGTCACAGTGCAGCGCAGCAGCATGGAGCTCTGGTTCCGCCACAATCATCGTAAGACGGTCGAGAAATCCCCTTCCTGCATGTGCCACTCCTTCCCGCCCCTCCCTGTGTCCCCCACATGCTGTGCTATCAGGTGCTGGGCATGCCAAGCGCGCATTGAGATACGCGGCACAACACACTCCATCCCATCCCAGCATGCACCATCCCTGCATGCACCATCCATCCCATCCCAGCATGCACCATCCATCCCATCCCAGCATGCACCATCCATCCCATCCCAGCATGCACCATCCATCCCATCCCAGCATGCACCATCCATCCCATCCCAGCATGCACCATCCATCCCATCCCAGCATGCACCACCCTTCCCATCTCAGCACACCTCATCCCCCCCTCTCCTGGTGTCTTCCCTTCCCCACGCTGTGCCACCCACCATGTGCTGACCATGCTGAGCCTGCAGTGAGCAAGGCTCAATCTAGGCCCTAAACCTGAAACCTTAAACCCTAAATTCGAAACCGTTCTGCTCCCCACCCCGCGCACTGTGCCACCCACCAGGTGCTGGGTGTGGTGAGCAAGCAGTGAAAAAGGCTCAATTTAGCCTCTAAACCTTGAACCTTAAACCCTTAACTCAAACCCGAAACCCTTCTGCTCCCCCCCTCCCCACGCGCTGTGCCCCCCGCCAGGTGCTGACCGTGCTGAGCCCGGTGGGGGAGGTGATCAACAAGAACACACTCAAGGAGAGGTGGGTGGGGTGGGTGGGGTGAGTGGGGTGAGTGGGGTGAGTGGAGTTTGCCTGCTGGTGTGTGGGCTGCCTGGGGTGAGGTGAGCGCTGCTATAGCTGCTTTGTGCTTCGTGCTGGGCGGGCGTGCTGAGCCTAAAAAAATCGTTTCAATAACTGCCCGTGTGACGAGACGATGCCAAACTTGTGTGCATCTGCTGCCCTGAACCCACCACTGACACACACGCACCCCTCTTTGTCCTCGGATCTGCTCTCATGTGTGTGATGCCTTGCCTTGGCAGGCTGAAGGTTTTCAATTTTGCGTTTGAAGAGCAATACAACAAGCAGGTGCGTGTGTGGGGTGGGTGGGTGGGTGGGTTTCATGTGTCCTCATACCTTAGCAGGCTGAAGGTTTTCAACTTTGCGTGAAGAGCAATACAACAAGCAGGTGCGTGTGTGCTTGTGTGCTCCACCTTGCTGCTCTTCCCCATGAGTGAGGACCCGTGGGACCTCACATTCGTGTAACGCTGCTTTTGAGTCGACTCAAAAGGACTCGTGGGATCTCACATTCGTGTAACGCTGCTTTTGAGCAGCAATATAGCGAGCAGGTGCGTGTGTGTGTGAGAGGCCATGCGTCTCTTGGGGCACTGTGAAACTGCGTAACAATGTCACCGCATCTATGCAGAGCAGACATTCAAAGAAACTGTACGTGTGTGCTAAGCAGTCTAAGAAGCAACTTGCACCTCGCCGTTGTGCCACACATGCTGCTTCCCTGGACCACCAGGAGAGGTAGACCGCAGGAGGGAGTTGCAACTCATAAGTCTTCCCTTCCCCTCTCCTCTTCCTCCCTCTCCTCTCCTCTCCCCCACCAGCTGACGTGGGCCATCCCAGATGCGGAGCTACAGAAAGCGGTGCTGCCAGTCGGTCACAGCACCTGACAAAAGTGTTGCCAGTCAGTCACAGCACATGACGAAAGTGTTGCCAGTCAGTCACAGCACGGCGCCTTGCTGACGAAAGTGTTGTTTTGAGACGTCTCAAAACGTCACGGCAAGGCGCATGCTCCGCAAATCCTCCCACCCCCATCTCCTCCTTTTTTTCTCTCCTCTATCTCAGCTGTCATCGACCACTGGTGCGATGCGATGCACTAACGCCCCTATCCTCATCCCCATTCCCCCTCATCGCCCCTCTAACGCAGCTCGCTCAAATGGACCATCCCGGACGCTGAGCTACACAAGGCGGTGCGCCAGGCTGTCATTGCAAGGCGCTTTGATGCACTAACTTCCCACCCATTCCCATTCCATTTCCATTCCCCCTATCCTCGCCCCCACCAGCTCAAAGGGACCATCCTGGACGCGGAGCTACACAAGGCGGTGCGCCAGGCTGTCATTGACCAGTCAGGTGCTGCGATGCACTAACCCCTCTCCCCCCAACCTCCAACCACCACCCGCTCCTCTCATTCCCCCACCAGCTCAAAGAAACCATCCTGGATGTGGAGCTACACAAGGCGGTGCGCCAGGCTGTCGTTGCAAGGCCCCTTGATGCATTATCCCCTGCCCCTCTCTTCTCTGCCCCTCTCTTCTCTGCCCCTCTCCTCTCTGCTTCATACCACCACCAGCTCACATGGACCATCCCGGACGCGGAGCTACAGAAGGCGGTGCGCCAGGCTGTCATCGACCAGGTGCTGCGATGCATCTAACCCTCCCATCCCCACCTCCGTTTCCCCCCAACCACCACCCACTCCCCCCCTCTCCTCCCACCAGCTGACATGGACCATCCCGGACGCGGAGTTACAGAAGGCGGTGCGCCAGGCTGTCATCGACCAGGTGCTGCCCGCCTACCGCGACATGCTCAAGCGCTACGGGTGAGCAAGCGGTGCTCGGGGGTGCTGTGCGGTGCTGATGAGTGCTCGAGGGTGCTGATGGGTGCAGAGGGGTGCTTAGCGATGCTGAGGGGTGCTGTACGGTGCTGATAGGACTCTTAAGCCATCAGAAGGGGGTATGGCTGTCATCCTAGGTGCTGCCGGCGTACCGCGACATGCTCAAACGCTACGGGTGAGTGAGCGGTGTTTAGGGGTGCAAGGGGGTGCTGATTGGTGCCGAGGGTTGCTGTGCGGTGCTGAGTGGTGTTGTGTGGTGCTGATAGGACCTCATGCCCCTCCCCACCTTCCCCCTTTTGTCCCACAGCCCAGTGGTGGACGCATTGAAGAATCTCTCCAAGCGCGTCAAGCATCAGCCGGAAGGCATCGAGACGAGTTCTGAGTCGACTCGACACCTCCCCCCTCTCGACCCATCCCCTTCCCACCCCCGTTCCCCCCCCTGCAGCCCGGTGGTGGAGACGTGGAAGAATCTCCGCCAAGCATGTCGAGTGCAAACACCTCATTCTACCTCATGCCCTTCCGCACCCCCCACCCCCCCTTTTTCTCTTCCCCCCTGTCTCCGCAGCCCGGTGGTGGACGCATTGAAGAATCTCTCCAAGCACGTCAAGTCAAGTGTCAGCCGGAGGACATGCGGTAGAGATGAACCGACTTGAATCTCCCACCCTCCCCTCCTACCTCTCTCCCATCAGCCCGGTGGTGGATGCATTGAAGAATCTCTCAAAACACGTCAAGCACAATCACCTCATTCTACCTCATGCCCTTCCCCAACCCCCCCCCCCTCCTCCCCACCCTTCTCCCTTCCCCCATTTCCCCACAGCCCGGTGGCGGACGCGTTGAAGAATCTCTCCAAGCACGTCAACTACCAGCCGGAGGCAATCAACTCAAGTTCTGGGTCGACTCGAAACCTCCCCCCTCTCAACCCGTCCCCTCCCCACCACCCTCCTTCGTCCCGCAGCCCGGTGGTTGCGCATTGAAGAATCTCTCCACGCATGTCAAGTATCAGCCAGAGGACGAACGGTAGACACAAGTCAACTTGAAAATCCCACCCTCCCCTCCCACCTCTCTCCCCGCAGCTCGGTGGTGGATTCATTGAAGAACCTATCCAAGCACGTCAAGTATCAGCCGGAGGACATCGAGCGTCTTATTCGGCAGCTCTTTGAGGGCCGCCAGGCACGTCAAGTACCCCCCTTCCCCCTCTCCTATCTCTCTCTCCCCTCCCCCCCCCCCTTTCCTTCCTTTTCCCGCAGCCCGGTGGTGGACTCGTTAAAGAATCTCTCCAAGCACGTCAAGTATCAGCCGGAGGACATCGAGCGGCTCATTCGCCAGCTCTTTGAGGGCCGCCAGGTTGTAGGCGAGGCCAGCAAGGGCAAGGCGTCGCTGCTCAAGTAGACTTATTGATGTCCAACGAAATTATTGAGGATCTGCGTGTATAAATGTGTTTTCCATGTATAGGCGTAACGAATACATGGCATTTTGCCAGGATGCGACCCGTCCTTGAAGTGCGAATAATGGCTGGTTTTGGCTTTTGTTTTATGTGCATTTTCAAAATCAGTGGATTGTACCATTAAGTGTTACCTCAATACTGAAACGCACGCAAGTGCGGAAACGGGTGGGTTGGTGGGGACTGTTGGGGAGGGGAGATGCCGTGTCCTCTGGCAAGAAAATCTCCGCCGCAGCGATGATCGCCATTGGCGGTCCAATTCCTTACCATTCCTCGGGCAGCCATCTCCAGCCCTTCCCAGTTTGAAGGGCTGACCGAAGCAATTCCGCTGCCAGTAGGGCGGTGTGGTGCGCCTCAACCTGCTCGCGACTCGACTTGTAGGCTGGTCTGGCTTTGCAGCCTACGGAGTCTGGTCTGGAAGGTTCAAAACCTGTAGCCTTCGCTTTTCACCTGAACCAAACCTCTCGTTAGCAAAGCAGGACCTCGTTGATTGGCCGGTGAGGGGGCCGCAGCAGGCGCTGGTTTGTGTGCCCCCAAGCATAGAGACGACATTCTGGGCGACCGCATTTGCGCCAGCCGTCAAGGCTTCCACTTCTCAAATAACCGAAGTGTAAAGCTTCTAAAAAGTTTTGTATTCCCTAACACCGTCCTCCGTGCTTCTGGGGTCTACCTCAGGCAGCAATTTCCATCCGCCTCCATAACATCACAACGGGGCAAATGTAAATCGAATGCTGCTGCTCCACCCACCAACCAATCGTTGCACCTCGTTGGGACATTTTCCGCCTCAAATGCTTCCCCCATGCCAAGGATCCCCAATTCACCTCTCCCCCTCATCCCCCAACCCCCCACCCCCACCGCGGCAACTCTTGTCGCTCGCGGCCCCGCCTCAAGCAATTTCGGCTGGGCGAATTCGCCCAGGTGATGGCTGCTGGTGCTGTGTGGACGAGCGTCAGTGGTGCCAATGGCAGCAGCACGCACTTTTCCCGAAGAGCCGTCCTCGTCGTTCCCGCATCCTAAAAGGCGACGCTCCGGCACCCCCCTACCCGCGCCAGATCGTTAAGATGAGAGCTTGCTTATCAAGCGTCTGCCCGAACACCCTTGCTTCGTGCAAGTTGCGATGCGACCCTGCTGGGCCTTTTCGGTTCCGAGACACAATCGCCGATTGCGCAGGCTGACGACCAAGTTGAGCGAGAATCGCCCACGCTTCGAGCTTCACTGAGCGGCGAAGGGGGCGTATCTCGAAATACATAACTGCTTGTATTTAGCTGCTTTGTTATCGAGTTACCTCATTTCATCAGACTAAGGTCGCGGCGACGCGTCATCATGACGTCAGCGACGGGAAGACGGTCATCATCGAAGGCCGTGGTTGGCGCGGCCTTCCTGCTGCTTCTCCTCGCCAGCACCTTCGTGGAAACCGCGGTCGCGGTGAGCCGAAAGGACGTGCGGCTCGCGCTGCAGAAGATTCGACGAAACCCGCGCCTTCAACGTCTGAACTTCAAAAAGTTCTTTCAAAAGTTCGGTAAGTAGTAGCATTTCCCTATTGTCACCCCACGGCGATCTTGCCTTTTTAGTAGACTCTCAGAAGGGATGCTTCATGCGCACTCGCGCGGGCGCCGCGTGCGAAGCAGGCGTCAGGGATTCGTCTGCTTTTGAGTCGACTCAAAAGCGCACTCGCGCGGGCGCCGCGTGCGAAGCAGGCGTCAGGGATTCTTCGTCGCAAGGAGTGACGAGGCGCGGTTAAAGAAGGAGAAAGCACCCCGCAATGTTGCTGTCACGCCCGGGACGCTAGCTTGCGTGTTGTACGTGCTGGTGTATCGTCACGTCACGTCTACCGCGTAGCGTCACGCGTACCACGCAAAGGCGCGCGGGTGTACCGCGTAAGGGCGCGCGGGTGTACCGCGTAAGGGCGCGCGGGTGTACCGCGTAAGGGCGCGCGGGTGTACCGCGTAAGGGCACGCGGGTGTACCGCGTAGCGTCATATGGACGCCACAGTCACATACTGAGCGGTGCCGCATTCGCCCAGTCGCTCCGAGCAGCAAGGTCGTTCGTGAGGTCGTTCTTCCACAGCAGAGCACGACAAATTGCACCACCAAGGTGACTTTTGAGTCGACTCAAAAGTCAGCAAGGTCGTTCGTAAAGTCGTTCTTCCACCAGCAGAGCACGACAAATTGCATCACCACCTTTCTCGTGCCCACGGCTTCCCCCCCCTTCCTCCCCCCCCCCCCCCCCCCTGGCTCCCTTAATCCTCCTTTAGCGTTCTCCTCGTTTCCCCCATGCTCCCCTCGTGTTCCCGTCGTTTCCCACTTATTTTTCTCTCGCGCCCCCCTCGTTTCATCGTCCCCCATTTCCGCTTCATGTTTCCCAGATGCTCCCCATATGCGCTTCATGTTCCCCAGATGTTCCCCCATATGCGCTTCATGTTCCCCAGATGTTCCCCCATATGCGCTTCATGTTCCCCAAATGTTCCCCCATATGCGCTTCATGTTCCCCAGATGTTCCCCCATATGCGCTTCATGTTCCCCAGATGTTCCCCCATATGCGCTTCATGTTCCCCAGATGTTCCCCCATATGCGCTTCATGTTCCCCAGATGTTCCCCCATATGCGCTTCATGTTCCCCAAATGTTCCCCCATATGCGCTTCATGTTCCCCAGATGTTCCCCCATATGCGCTTCATGTTCCCCAGATGTTCCCCCATATGCGCTTCATGTTCCCCAGATGTTACCCCATATGCGCTTCATGTTCCCCAGATGTTCCCCCATATGCGCTTCATGTTCCCCAGATGTTCCCCCATATGCGCTTCATGTTCCCCAGATGTTCCCCCATTCCCCCTCCCATGTCCCTCATGTTCCTCTGCCACACTTCCCTATTCTCTCAGCACAGCTGCCCTCTCTCACGTACACACCCTGACCACTGCCGCACCGCACCACACCACACCGCACCTTACCGCACCGCACCACACCGCCCTGCCCCGCACCTTATTTCACCGCACCTACAGCCCTGCCTCCATGCGTCCCTCGTTCAATGCATCACCCACCACAAACACGACCCTTTCATTCTTCTCCTCCCTCTGCTCTCCTCCCTCTGCTCTCCTCCCTCTGCTCTCCTTTCTCTGCTCTCCTCCCTCTGCTTCCCAGATTCTCCCCTCTTGCAGTGCTGCTGGCCATCAAACCTCCCCAGTGAGCGTTTGAGAAATTTATAATTCCAACTACACCATGTACATTGCTTTTTCAAGCGGCTAAACCCTCTCGCACTTCGCTCCTCTCAGTCAAACTGCGTGACCCCTCTCGTCTCCTTCCTCTCCCACCCTCTCCCCCCTCCATCCCCCCTTGCAGTGCTGCTGGCCATCAACCAGAAGGGCCCCATCACGCTCTTCCTCCCCACTGACCCGTACACCATGTACACAGCCTACTCAGCTGGATACACAGCCCAAGACTTTGCCATGCTCGGCAAAAACAACATGATCGCGGAGTACCTTCCCTACAAGAAATTTGTGCATGCTGCTGCGGGTACAACATACACCACTGTGCTGGGAGAGAAGGTGAAGAAGTGGGATGGCAAGCGTACCAAGTTGGTGGCTTTGCAGGCGGCCAAGGGCCTGCCGAGTCTTGTCATATGGCCCGACATGTTCAAAGGAGATACTCTGGTTATTCACGTTGTGTCATTAGCTTTGATTCCCTCGTCCCTGTAATATTATGTGATGTAACGAATCTACCTTGTAAAGTTGATATAAGCACTAGCTTTGTACAGCATGATTATAAACATATGTCGTCAATTCGCTGACCATGATGAAGGGGTCCATCGCTATAAGAACAGACAACCGCCTTTTTGGATCCAGCAATGCAACATTTGCGCGTCGATATTGGCCCAAACACCGACACGGGATCACGTCGGAACGAGTCGCGACATTGATGACATTCATCTTGCCGCGGTGGTGATGTGGAGGCGCTAATGTCAAGATCGTATTGGTCAAACACTCTCCCCCTGCGCTGTAATTGGGCGATCATCGCGATCAAGAGCCAACCAATGTTCGCGCGATTTGGGTTTTGTTGAATTGGATGTACACAGCCGCCATTTCGGGAGGATGGATGGACAGACCGCAAGCAGCTCTATAATACGGTCAATCATGGTATGTCACGGTGAAAACGGTGGAAACTCAAAACCACTATGCACCGTCTGATATGCTCTTGCACCACAACAATGAGGATGAGTGAACATCATCAATTCAACCCTTCTTCTCTTCAGCGGACTGAACCGTTCTATCACTAGACAAAGCGTCTAGAACCGCATTTGAAATCGAAACTCAGTTTTGTTTTTTAGTCAGGCTTGCCAAACCACTATGATACGCTGGGTGGTGGCGATGGATCTGGACAGGAAAGTCTGTCCTTTGCGCCTCCTCTCCGACGCGGTTGAAATCACACATGTTCCTTATCTGAACATCCGACAGGGATTTCGCTCGACGAAGGTGAAATAGGCACGTCACATCCTAACGGCTTCACTTCACTGTCCGCTCGTTGCAAACGGTCTCGCAGCATATCACTCACTCTCGTATCAAAGCTCAAGGTAGCAGCTTCAGCATAGCAGTTATCGTTCCGTGTCGTCCACGCTCCTTGCGACGTTACCCATCCCCAACAACTTCCATTCTCACGACAATCCCACACCGTACGATCCGCAAATCGACTGCTAGTCCCAGTTCGATGGCGCCGAGGGCTGTGCTCATCTCAAGCCGTCGCCTCGGCGATCAACCACGTCAACATCCACGTCATCACATCTTCACCTCATCACTTCTCCTCCTCCTCCCCCTAGCGCTATTGGCGGCTAGCGTGTTACCGCAGGCGCGAGCGGTGACGCGTATGGACTTCGCGCGCGCGGTCAGCAAGGTGGGCACATACGGCAGCATCCTGTTCTACTCGCCGGGTTACAAGCTCGAGCAACTCCGTAAGTCGCGCTGTGTTATAAGAAGAGCATGTGACCCGTAAGAACTGGGTGCTCGGTCAGCAAGGTGGCCACATACGGCAGCATCCTGTTCTACTCGCCGGGTTACAAGCTCGAGCAAATCCGTAAGTCACAACCTTGTAAATATACTGCTTCACGAACCGCGCTGCGTTTTAGAAGAGCATGTGACCCGTTAAGAACCTGGGTGCGCGCTCAGCAAGGTAGGTGCGTACACGGACACGATTCTCCTTTGCTCGTCCGGCTTCACGCTTCCCAAACTCCGTAAGTCATGTGAATGGTTTGCTTGGCCCATCGCTGTGGGGACTGCGTGCGGGCTCAGCGATCCAGGCGCCGAGAACACCGGTATTCCGCTTTACTCGTCTGGCTTCGCGCTTGAGCAGCTCCGCAAGTCACAAGCTTGTGCGCTCGGTAGGTCAAGCATGTGACGCGTATGGGCTTTGCGCGCGCGCTCAACAAGGTGGGCGCGTACAGCGACATTCTGCCCTACTCGCCCGGCTTCACGCTCGAGCAACTCCGTAAGTTACAAGCTCGAAAATGGTTTAATTCTTGAGTCACTGCGTTTATAGGACAATCACGTTACCGTAAGAACTGGGAGCGGGTTCAGCAAGGTGGGCGCGTACAACGACATTCTGCTCTACTCGCCCGGCTTCACGCTCCAGCGAGCTCCGTAAGTCGTCGGGTTCAACAAGTACTACGTATTGAGAGTTGCGTATGACAACGAGTTACCAGCTCGGTTGCGAGTCACTTCGCGAGTCCCAGCAATAAGAACAAAGCACGTGACCCGTAAAAAATGGGCGCGCGCCTGAACAAGGTCGCAAAGCATGCGAACATCATCGCAACTCGTCGCAACTCAAGCTAGTTGCACTACAAGCTTAAGCAACTTCACGTCATTCGGGTGGTCAAACGTCTAGCAAGCTAGTCAAATGGCTTTTGAGGTCTCATGTCGTAATTCCGTGTCATGCTACGTTCGAAGGCTCATTAGCACAACGCAGCGTACTGCGCGTTCCTGCGGCTTTTTCTTCGCGCATCCACAGAGTGTGTGACAGTCTTACAAGTGGGAGTGTCTCTCACTTCTGCTTTCGACCGCTCGAACTTTCTGCTCCAATTTGAATCCTCTCCTTCCCTTGCCTCTCTTCCCTCCATCTCGCGTTTTTTCCCTTTCCATCTGTCTTCGTTCATCCTCCCCCTTTCAGTGATGGAGGCTCGTGGCATCAAGGGGCCGGTTACCGCGCTTCTTCCTGTTCGCGGGTATTTCGCCTACACTCGCTCGCGTCGGATGGGCAAGGCACAACTTCGCAAGGTTCGGCGTTACCACTTTCTCAACGGGACGTACAGTTACGAAGAGTTGCAAGGCTTGATGCGGTACAGTAAGATCACGACCATTAACGGGATGACCATAACGAAGATGAACAGCAACAAGTGGCCGCTGGTGTGGCTGCAAGGGGCGGCTGGCCCTCCAGCCGTGATTATAGAGAAAAACTACTACCGGGGGCTGTCTCTCACCATCCACCTCATATCGCGGGTGCTAAAACCGAAGCTGAGATGAGATCGGGCACTGTTATCAGTAAGCACGGGGGGTGGGGGTGTGGGGGGAAGGGAGGGGAGCTCTGGAAAGGTTTGGCAAGACTTCAGTACAGGACTGTATACAGCACTAACAGGTAACCTAGAATAATATGGCGGCTTTCAAGTAGGGGCACGGAGGTAAGAGGCAAGGGGCACAAGGCAAAGTAGGAGGGGGTGGTTTGAGATTGCAGCTGAAGCTGTTGGGGCAGAGAGGCGGAGGAAGTAAGAGCAGCATGGAAGGAGAGAGGAGAGGCGAGCATGCAATCAAAGGGCAGCGGCAGCTGAGCAAGCTAAGTCTGCAGGACGGCATACTGAAGTGAAGACTCCTGGTGGTTGGGTGCATCCCAGTATGAAGCCGTCACTGATTCTGGAGGCCATTTACGGGGTCATGTGAGCAGTTTATTTTTGTTCAGCAAATACAGGCGCACTGACTAAGCAAGTGTTCAATGGTGTAGTGGCCCCGAGTAGGGCAATTGGCAACTATTGAACACAGTGTAGAGTATCATGGGCCTTAGGATGATATGTTCCCAGTGCCATGCTTCCCACCTAGAGAAAATAAGTACATGTAGATGCTACCGTACCGTGCAATTTGTTTTTTAGGCGACACAAGCGCTGTGAAATTTGGCAAGTGGTTTCCACTCTGGTGATCTTACCACTGCGAATATCTTTCACGATTTCAATTGACCTCGTCCTGAGCCCTCGTCAGCATCTCCCTCACAGCTTTCCCGTTCCCCGGTCCTGACAAGAGATGCAGGGCCCACGCTGCTACGGTGCTACTACTACTACCCCTCTCACATGCTTCCTATGTAGTCAGCTCAACATTGGATTTTGGAAAAGATATAAGTCGGTGGTCTATAGCCAGTTCAAGCTGAAGAGAAACGGTAAGTCGACAGCTTACAAAGCATTGACTGCATCCACGTCATTGACCGTTGTTGCCAATCTGCTGCGTGGTACCACGAATTACCGTGGTAGTGTCAGTGGTCAATATCAGACAACTTGAAGTCAACGCAAGCAACAAACCTAGTTCCGCAGCCATCGCATTATGTGCGCTCAGTTCGGAGTCTGCACTGCATCCACACCATGCAAGATAAAGAACTTCCCCTTGTAGATCTCCGGGTCCTTCACCTTGGCGTTCGCCTTACCCAGCTCCATCCGCGTCTCCCCCGTGCGTAGGTTCGTCACCTCCTCTCTCTTCCCCATCTTGCGCCCGTTCATATCCTTGAACTCCTTGGCGTTCTTAAGCCCGCCTTCCGTAAACATGCCCTGGATGATGTTCGCGCGCACCCACTGCCCGTAGTTCTCGATGTCCTTGCGGTCAGTAGCGCTGCCGCGCAGAATGTCGGCGGCGGCCGCGGGGATCGTCCAGAGGATGGCCGTGCTGTCCGGCACCAGCGCGGTCGTGTGCTCGAGCTCGCCTAGCTGCTCGTCGTTCGGCTCCCAATCGTTTTCTGCACGCGCCAGGAGGTCGCAGTGAGATGATCCGATTATGACTTGGAACCATCCCGAAAAAATATATTTATCATATATATACGAAAAGAAAAGGAAAGAAGGCATTTTTCGGGTTAAACCTGCCAAACGTATTATAGATGGGATTATATCGAAGGCATCGCACGCACCGAATTCCGGGATGAGGTGGTCGAAAGCCGCGGTAGTGGCGTAGTATTTGCCGTTATACTTTGGATCCTTGAGCGCTTCGTTCGCCCTCTTCAGCTCTTCGACGAACTCATCCTTCGTCGGCCGCTTCGCCGCTGCAGGCGAGAGGAATAGCGCGAGCAGGGCGCAGATGATGAGGCAAGAAGAAGGGCCCCACGAAGCCTGAGGGTTGTCGTGACACGCCATGATTTGATCAGTAAGGAACACGGATCTTAGTGATGGTGCAACTTGTGCTAATGATAAGGGAGATTGCCACTGCACGGGTCATGCCAGGTCCTGCAATTTATCAGCGGGAAGTGTCTCACGGGAAAGGTGTGGCGACCAAAATGGGTGGGAAATTTTCTGTAACGAAAACGAGAATCCGCTAGTGGTGACGAGTTTCGCAACCAATATGATTACTCTACTGTCCTCGCAAAGATTCGGGAACAGCAGCAATATAAAAACACACTTCCAGGAAGTTCACCGCGGCGCGGGAGACGCGCGTGAATTTTTGCTGGGGGTCCGTCTGTTGCGGCCAGGAGAATTATCCCCTTGATTCTGTTTCCAGGGTTCGGAACGCAGGGAAGCGGAACGCAGGTTGGTCGGTGTCGTTCAAGTGAGCAGGGAAGCCAAGGGCCTATGAGATAGATATCACGTCAAAAATGCTGTATACCTGGACTCAGGTTGCAGTCAGATATTCATTAATCCGTAAACATTTCGTACAAGACTCACTCTTCGTGTAAACGTTTGATTGACCGCTTCGAGTCAGTTAGAAAGGGGTATGCCGCCACAATAATGCAAGCCAACGCGTTCATCCACAGCGAACGCGTTCTTGTACATCGAACGGTTCTTCTAGTACCTTTCTCTTGCTGATCGAACAGATCTCGGGTTCGCGAAGCCTGACGAGATTGTCGAAGTACTTACTGGTGAACGCATTGTTCGTTCCCCCTCACACAACCTATTGGTTGAAGCATGCAGTGCGCGTCGTTCATCACTGAATTGTTGCTCCTCACAATCTATTGGTCGGATTTGTTAAAAGCTAATCGAAGCGGCTCGGGCTGTGTGAGCCATTTTCGCTTGACAATTTTCCATCACCCCTCATCTCCGTTTTCCATTCGACACATAAATCTCCGTGCTCTTGACCTATTTTCTCATTCCCAACTCCTCACCACCCAATCAGCAAGTGCACCTCCAGGCATCTAAACTTCAGCTGTGACCATCTTCTCCTTTTCTCGCTCCCTGCCCAGTAACATCCGCTCGTTTCTCCTTGCTTTCCGGCCCTCTCTCGTGCTCCGCCGAAGTCCCTCGCGGCCGCTTCTTCCGCCGCGTTCCCGCGTCACTCGATTTCGGACGTTCCAAGTGGGTGCTCCAATCAAGACGCTCGCAGCGATCCAACTTGGAGGTCGAGGCTACAACCGGCCAATCCCCGCCATCTCTACGCACGCGCCATGGCACCGTCGACTCGGCGTTCTCACCGTGCGGCGCAGCTTTCCGTTCTCGCCGTTGTCGCCGTCGTGTGCACGGTCGCACTGCTGCTCGCACCGCCTGCTGAAGCGCGGCCCACCAAGGAGGACTTGATCGTCACAATGAAGAACGCCAGAGACGCGTTTAGCAACCCGAAGCTCAACGGCCGATACAAAGCAACCACCTTGTTCCTCGACCACATCATCCCCCAAATGGGTAATCTTATGCTCCTATGATCTGTGCATGTTCGTCTTTGTTGCGGCGCACCGTCCTTTTCCTGCGCACCAGCGTTAAATTCTCCAAATCCGGTCGCCTTTGGCAAGCCATATGGCTTGGTCTCACGAAGTCCTTGTGTTCTCACACTTGTTGTTTTTTCTGTTTTCTTCGTGATGAGTTCAGAGACCGACTGGAACCCCACGGAGGGTTTCCTCGACGAAGTCAACGGGAAAACGCTCCTAATGCCGGACGACGTGACTCTCGCCGCCGCGGCGCCTGACGTGCTTTACGACATGGTGCGACCTACCTTAAAGCCCCGCGATGTTGAATCCCAATACATGCCGTTGATCCGCGCGAACCTGCTGGACGGCGTGTACGAGGAGGAGGACATCAAGGCCGCGAAAGTGCTCAAGGACGCGAATGGCCGCGTCGTGGGTAAGGTAGAGGTCGAGGAGTCCAGCCAGAAAAAGGTCGCGATTGGAAACGCCAAGGCGAAGGTCAAGCATCCAGCGATTTTCAGGGGAAAGCTGGGGATCGTTCACGGCGTGGACGCAGTACAGGCGGTGAGTTAGAAACCGATATTGACTGTTTTGTTTAGTGTGTGTGTTTACCTTGCGATTGCCTAAGGGGTTGATTGCTTAGCTAGCATAAGTGTGCTGGGCTCTGGTTCTTTGTGACAAAGCTCTGAGGATGTATTTGAAGGGGATTACTGGTAGTACTAGATCTTTGGGGGGTAGTCTGTCTGGCTTGCTTGTGTAGTGTTGTATCATACCGTAAATGATTTCACTTTCAATGTCTTCGACAACACTGAAATGGTGATATGCTATGGTATCATGAACCAGAACAAGCCTGTAAACCAGTATTACAACTGGTCTGCTGCAACCCATCCCTCCCCCATCCCACCCTTCCTCACTCCACTACATGTGTGGTACTACCGCTAGAGTACCTTATGGGCTTATACGGTACAGCATTATCCGCATCGTCCACATCTAGAATCGCAACATCAAGCCCGAAGTCCGAATCGGTCTCCCGAGCGCGCGCCCCGACCGGCACATAGAGGCAAGCAACCATTAAAGGCCCTCAGCTCGCGCAGCAGTGGGGGGCTGGGCCAGAAGGGTTGTACAAGCCGCTACCATATGTAGAGTCAAAAACAGGGTACTTTCTTCCAGCCTGCCTGCCTTGCTGCTGGCTGTGCCATTGCTTGCTGAGGTGCATTGGCAGGTGCATTGGCAGATGCGATGGCAGATGCCACAGAGCATATGAGAGTGCGGCAGGTCACCTGAACAAGCAACAAAGCACCTGAAAATGCATCTGAGCATGCGAATAACACAACAGGGAAACTGAGACTATGCAACAGAGCACATACAACGCCCCCCGATGCGCAACAGAGCACACACAACGTTCCCCGATGCGCAACAGAGCACACACAACGTTCCCCGATGCGCAACAGAGCACATACAACGCCTCCCGATGTGCAACAGCGCACCTGAATTGCACAACACGGCACCTAGAAGCAAGCAACTCATGAGAGCAGCATTAAAGTAGGTCAAGGAGTGACCTCCAACAGCGGTGGTGTTGCTGCTGACCTGCACCAGCAGCCTGACCTGCACCAGCAGCCTGACCTGCACCAGCAGCCTGACCTGTGCCCCATGGGTTCCCATGCTCCCGCATGCTCTCCCATGCCTTCCCCCCATGCCCCCCCATGTCCCCCTATGCTCCCCATGCCCCCCTATGCTCCCCATGCCCCCCTATGCTCCCCATGCCCCCCTATGCTCCCCACCTCCGCCTATGCTCCCCATTGCGCCCCCATGCTCCCCATTGCACCCCCATGCTCCCCATTGCGCCCCCATGCTCCCCATTGCGCCCCCCATGCCCCCATTGCGCTCCCCATGCCCCCATTGCACCCCCCATGCCCCCATTGCACCCCCAATCACCCACATACCTCCCTGAGCCCCGCGTCCCATGCTCCGACCTCTCTACCCATCATCTTACCTTGTGCGGAGCACCACCCACATGCACCTCAGGGCAATACCCGCACAGCATCAGAGGGTGTGCAGGCAATACCCGCACACCATCACAGGGTACTTGCCCATCACCCTCTCCACGCCTTCCCTCACCTCCTCCCACTCCCTCAAGCTCTCCTCCACCACCTCCCTCACACTCCCCTCCTCCCCCGCGCCTCTTTCCCCCTCCTCTCCCCCCTCCATCTCCTCTCCTTTCCTTCTCTCCTCCTCAGTCGCCTCTGTATCACTTTGCATCTCCAACCTTCTCCCTACCCTGCACCTACCACCTTCATCCTTGTCCATTCCACTACTACCCTCCTCCATCACCCTTCTCCACCCCTCCTCACCTCGCCCCATCTTACCCCTAGACCCCTCTCCCACATCACCCCCGCCCCCACTGCTTCCACCCCCCTATAAGCTGACTTCTGAGTCGATTCCAAACCCCCCCTCCACTCTCCCTCCCATCGCCTCATTCAACCCATAGAACCCTCATCCCACATAACCTCCGCCCCGACTGCCTCTGTTTCAGACATCTCTAAAATAGCCTTCACCACCCTCTTCCCCCTTATAAGCTCCCCTGGTAGACACTCCTGAAGCCGAATCGCTCTCCAAGCCTGTCACCCAGGCCCGGCCGGTGTCAGGCCTGGTGGTTTGCACAGGTTCGGTTCAGCGCTTGGTGCGCAGGACTGGCAGGTCTACACCAGCCTGAGGGGAGGGGAAGTGGAAGAAAGAGTGGAAGATTTCAAAACTCACCTGAAAACTTATTTGAACGTGAAGAATAGCCTGAACCTAAATTGTTACGTGAACCTGGAAAACTGGTGAACCTGGAAAATCACTTGAACTTGAGAAATCACCTGAACGCACAGCTCTAATATAGCAGGAATCCTCTCCACGTCAAATCTCGCCTCGTGCGGCTCGCGAGGGCGCAGACGATCGGGCAGGTGAAAACTTTCAATGACCGGGGGGATGTCAGAGGGCGTGGCACGCGCCCATTCATGGCTGCCCGAACTGCCCGAACGGCTGTGCGGCCTTGGAGCCTTGCAGTTGCGGATGGCGTGGGGGCAGCGGACAATGGAGACCTCTGGTCAGATCCTTGGGGGATGGGAGAGAGGGGAGACGGGAGATGGGGACAAGCAGGCACATGTGGGAGGATGGGGAGTGTGGGAGTTGAGTCAGGAGGAGAGGGACGGTTAGAGTTGTTCGTAGAGGGGGCCTTGTAATGGCAGATGGCATGGTGATGGGGCGATGGAGACGTGTGGGGACAGCCTTGGGGGATAACTGGGGGTTGAGTCAGGGGTGGGGCGGTTCAAGTTGTTTGTGAGGGGGGGGCCTTGTAATGGCAGATGGCATGGTGATGGTGGGCGATGGAGACGTGTGGGCACAGCCTTGGGGGATGGCTGTGGGAGAGTTTGGAGAGAGAAGAGAGCAGCAGCAGTGGCACCAGCAGCGCCAGCAGCACTGCAACAGCCTGCGTGACAGCAGCGTAAGAACTAACAAGCGGGACGCCAACGGCAGCAGCTGCTGGTGGCAGCGCAGCGGGCCTACCTGCATGCATGTGCGGGCATGGCCTGCAGAAGCCTGCGGGTCGTTCCTTGCAGGTAACAAGGTACTGCGAAACGTCTACACCACATCGCATTGGCACTGTCTGCCCCATGCGACCCCACCTGCCCCCATGCGACCCCACCTGCCCCCATGCGACCCCACATGCATGCATGCATGAGCAGGTACGGCCTCCAGCAGCCTAGGGATCTTCGCCTAGAAGGAAAGCCAGAGCGCGAGCGAGTGGTGGGACGCCCACCCTCAAAGCAGCGATCCCAACTGCCCCTACCTGCACGCATGCGGCCCCAACTGCCCCCATGCGACCATACCTACGTGCATGTGCCGGCACTTTTTCCAACAGCAGGGGCAGCCAGAGCGCGAGAGTGCGGTGCACCACGCTCACCAGGCGCGGGACCAGCAGCCCGTTGGCCGGCGCGCCAAGGGGGGGGGACGGAAGCCCCTTCTCTGCCAATTTCCGCCTGCGCGCCGCGTTCCCCTTTCATCCCCTCCACCGCGCGCCCAACCCTCCGCCTCTTCTGCAACAACGTCTCCCCCAGCGCAGCCTTCGCCTCCGCTTCCAACGCCTCCGCGTTCCCCCCTCGTCTTCCGCCCATCTCCGCCCCACACGCACGCGCAAGGCGTCCGCGTTAGACCCCCCTATGCGCACCCATCCTTGCGCCTCCCCTGCGGGTCTCTCCTGTCGCGCCCGCGTTCATTCCATCCCGCGCTTCTCCCCACCCCCCTGCTGCGCGGGCCTCGGTGCGCGGCTTCCGCCCGCTCCGCTTTCCGCTGTTAGGCGGCTCGTTTGGCCCTCGTGCTAACGACTGTGATATTAGCGGTGGCAGCGAATGAAGCAGCACTGCCTGGAAATTGGACAGAGCAAGCGGAGAGGAAACCGTCGCGTCGAAGCGTGGGTATGAATCTCGAGTTCAGTCGAGGCGCGACGGACTGGCTGGATACTCCCGACAAGCGGGCGAATAGAGGGAGGCTAGACGAAACGAGATGGGGACGCGACATTATATGTCCTCGAAAGCGTGCAGCATCCTAAATCAGTACTACGACATGTTCCAGCGAGTAGCAGTGAAGGAGAAAAGTGTGCACCATTCCAACCGTGTTGATGATGGTTATAGGTGGTCTGCAGGATGCAATGTAGGGACTGCTATTTAGGTTAGACAAGTGTTTCAAAAATACTGCAGCGCTTATCCGCGTTGTGCAGCATCTAGTAATGAGTATTTTCGTAAACGAGAGACTCACCCTACCCAGATTCCGTCGCATACCACGTGCTCCCCCACTCCTCAGGAGCCAGCGAATGAGAGCAAGTGCAGGTGCGATCGCGTATACGACGAATGGAGTTGGTCGAGCGACGACAAATCAGTTGAAGCTGACGCAACGAGTGGATCCGAAAGATCGCCCATGCCCCCTGCGATCTAGATACGCTCGCAATCGTCGCACCAGTCTCACATCACATCACATGATTTTTTGCAGGTGCCTACTAATTCCATAAATTGGAGCTAGGGGAGGGATCAGCTGCGAACAAGGCTGATGAGTTCATCACGACACCAGATTAGACCTTCCATCAGCGAGTAAGCAAAAAGCGCGCGTTTCGGCCAGTTACGTGCTTACAACTCACTCGTCGAGGACCCACATGGGTGGGTGCCCGTGCAGGGGTAGCGTTGAACGGTGTGGCATAATCACGGCACCACCCAAGATTGCTTGGCTGATGCGAGGCGTTTTTATAACATCTGCACCTACCGCTGTTGCTAGTAAATGGGAGAAGATATCCAGGCGATAAGCTCAGCTCGCAATGTCGAGTCGCGAGGTCGGCTCGATGAATGCTGGGTAATCAGCAAAATTGCTATCAGCCGCACGTTACGGCTCGGAGGGTTATTCTTCTGCACCTGGCTCTTTTTCTTAGAACCATGGAAGAACGGAAGCGCGTCTCTGCGTCGCAAAGCAGCTTTCCTCTGCTCGACGGCTGCTTATATTCGACCATCAAGGATGCGATCGTAGTATCGAACCGACAGGCAACAATCGCTCATTTTAATTGTTAAGTTCTAATTCTCACATCTCTTCGTCGTCTCCTCGTCGGTTTCCCTCACCCCTGGCGTCTGAGGCATCACGGAGCATCTGCTTTCCAATCACACCTCAACGTCGCATCATCACTTCGCGTCGCGCCAGAATCGTCGGACCCGGAATTCGCCCCACTTCGTCCTCAGAGCTGTTCTGAGGCAAATCTATTCTCTGCATCACCAGTCGCATCAAGCGACCATTCCTTGCGCAGGATCACGATGATTCTGACAACGGTGGCAATGTCAGAGCGGCAATCGCGGGCTTCGCCGCGTCCAAGCCCCCTCGCGCTGCTGCTGCTCGTCGTTTCAGTCTCAGCCGCGTCGATCCCCTCCGTGGAGTCCGTCCGGCCGAACGAAATGTTTCGCGCGATTTCCGCCTTGAAGATACACCACAAGTTCAGACCATACGCGTTCCACATGCGATTCCTGCGAGGTTCGCGAACTTCGCCAATGGCTGGAGGTGGAGGAGGAGGTGGAGAGGGGGGTGGCGGAGATGGCGGAAAGGGAAAGGAGGTTCCTGCTTATGTCAAATTCACTGAAGAGCTGTGTAAGTGTACAATCTGTATCTCGCCCTCACTCTCCCACTTCTCTCATCCGCTCTCTCCTCTCAACCTTCCTCTTTCGCACTCACTCGCCCTCTCGCTCATTTCTCGCTCCCTCGCCCTCTCGTTCACTCGCCCCCTCGTTCTCTCGCCCTCTCGTTCGCTCGCTGTCTCACTCGCTCGCCCCTCTCACTCGCTCGCCCATCTGACTCGCTCTCGCTCCTCATTCGCTCCCACCCCTCTCGTTCGCTCACTCCCCTCGCTCCCTCTCGCCTTTCCCACTCAACCTCGCCCCTCCCACTTACCCTCAGCCCTACCACTCACCCTCTTCTCTGATGCGTCCTCGCCTCCTCTCACTCACTCTCAGCGCTCTCGCTCACTCCTGCCCCCTTTTGCTCACTCTCGGTCCCCCTAGATTACCGTAGCTCGCCTCCCTCCACTCACTCCCTCTCGTCCCCACTCTCTCCCTCGCCCCACACGCTCACTTTCACCTCCACTCCACCACCCTCGCCCCTCCCGGGCACTCTAGCCCTATTTCACCTTTCCGCCTGCTTTCTCCCTCCATCCGTTTCTCCTATTCTCACCCTCTCTCCCTGTTGTTGCATTGCTCACATCCACTCCTTCCATTCATTCATATGTGCCTTCCTTTCCTCTTTCTTTTCCATTCTCACACGTCCGTTTAATCCATTTCTGCAGTGCTCACAGCAACGAAAGAGGAAGGCCCCATTACGATATTGATCCCTCTAGACGTCACAGAGTACTACACTTCATGGAAGGACTACACTGCAGAAGAGCGTGAGAAGATAATGAAGTACCATATGATACCAAAACAGTACAAGTACAAGAAGCTTATGAAGGAGAAGGCGGGATACAAGATCAAGACAAAGGTGGATGGCCAAAAGATTTCCAAATTGACAGGGGATACCTTCCCTGGCATAGTCCTGATGGGGAAGAAGGGCATGCCCTCTATCATGGTGGGAGGAGATGTATTTGTAGGTGAGACCTTGGCCATTCACCTTGTAACATCTATGCTGTTTCCAAAGTTCAAATAAATGTGTGCTAGTCTCATTTCAGCTGTATCATTTACTTTCAGATAATACCTACCGTAGGATCTTGGTACATACTATTTGAACACAGAAAGAAGGTTCGTTCTAATTCCTACAAAATATAATGACAGGATTGGTTTGAACATTTATTCCAGCAAAATCACCAAAGAAACCGAACCACCCAAACCCCTTCCACCAACTAATAACTCAACAAACCCAGAGGCACACACTGATAAAATCCATTCCAAGCTTCAGGGTACATCCCTGGTGAGGCGTCAGCAATGTACCATTTTGCAACGCATTGCACCTACCACTGATAGATTTGCACCACGCTGTCTCTCGTCTTTCGTGACACCAGGTTGTGACGCACACCAGGTCTTTCCCTCAAGACTACCAAGTCAACCATCTGCCCTTCACGCAACCTGCATGCACGAGCACTGGCAGTTCATGGGGGAGCTGCCACTGGCACACGTGCACTGGCAGTTCATCTTCGTAGTTCCCGTGGGTGGTGGCGGCGATGGTGACGGTGCTGGGGGAGGCGGTGACGGGGAGGGGGAGGAGGAGAAGGTGAGGGCGTGGGTGTGCTGACAGGAAGAAAATTCTGGGTGACACACTGCTGCAGCTGACTGTCCCAGTTCTGCTGCACCAAGAATCTCATTCCGTTTAGCCCGACCATGTTGTAACTATAACCGTTTGAGCTGAGTGTCGTTCCGTAACTCCAAGAGCAGAGATCTCCGTTCTCCTCCCCATTTGCGTCGAACCAACCGGACTGCACATCCGGGTCCGTAGCGGCTTCAGTAATTTCGTGCGCGAGAGTTGAAATGGTGGCGTCAATCGCGAAATTGCCGTTGGGGGAAGTGCTCTTTACGCCGCACGCGCTGGGGCACTGGCCGTGATGACCCACGAACGCGTAGTAAAACGGAGATGACCCGATATAGTCGGCCGTGTGCCATCCGCAGTATTGGCTGCAGAAGCCCGACGATTCAGTCACGTCCTTGCTCGTTAGAAGCACGTAAATCCCGTACGGGTCGTACGCAAACGCCTTGCCAGATCCGATTTTGCTCTTGACAACTGCGATAGACAGGCCAAAAAAAGGGAGAGGAACAAAGTTTGATTGAAGCTTGCTACGCCAGCGCATTCTCAAGTGCAAGCACACAGTAGTAAGCGAGACAAGCGATGTAACAGCGTTCAAAAGGCGACAAGATATCGGGAAAGATGGCATCCAGACAGGGAAGAATTTGTGCGAACCCCCCGACTCATTTTCCCGTGAAGCACTACTGGCAGGCATCAGACAACGAGTTAATTCTAGAAAGCACAACTTTCTGACGCGGCTCGTGAAGAACGGGCTTACTAGAGAGCACGTAGCTGTCGGTGAGCGATTTGCCGTACGAGTAGTTGTCGTACGTCGTCCCCGCGAGCCGCACCTTGGAGCTCACGTTCTTCTTCGCGCCGTTGCTCGACTGATAGTAGTTCGACGTTATTGCCCACCAGTTCTTCACCGTCGGGTCGCTCGACGAACCCTGCGCGCCCGAGTCGCTACTTAAAGACCTAACGAAGTTGTCGATGTAGTCCTGTCCGGAACCCGACGGCCAGCTACCGTAGTAGATATGGTAGATGTTCACCGTCGGGTTACCCGCGACGATAGGACCTCCCCAGTACTTAATGGGCCCGCCGGTTGCGGCGGGGGTTACGGCGCCGCGGAACTGACTCAAGAGGCCCTGGGAGTTCGAACTCAAAGCCGCGGCTCGTGCTCGAAGGCGCTGCGCGTGGGCTTGAACGGTCAGAGCGATTCGTTTAGGCAGACGAGGCGCAGCTGACGACGGGACGGCGTGAGAGACGAGGAGCAGGAGGAGAACGGGGAGCAGACGAGTCGCGGCCATCGTTGCTGTGCGGAAAGTCGCGTGGGAGGCGGCGGAGAAGCGAGGCAGGGTGATGGGAGGGGACGTGGAACGGGAGGGACTGATGCTAACAACTTTTGTATTCGAAGGAAGGTGTCGAAAGAGTCAAGAGACGCTGTTTGGGTTGTTGGCTGAGCGTTGTTGCGCAACGACACGTTATGGACGGTGTGGGCGACACGCGGGATAGATTGGTTATAACAATGAGTCTCGCGTGAGTAGTGTGCCACACCGCCGATTATCAGTGATAATCGGCGGGGAATGAGTTCGGTTGGCTGCGGAGAGAATCTGCGGCGAATGAGTATTTTGGGCGGTTCGGAGGAATTTCGGCGATGCTTTCGAAGGATGCAGCAGCGAAGGATGACGGCCTCGTCTAACCAGCTTTGGGAATGGCTGGATGCTAGGAGTTTTGGAAGCAATGGCGAAGGAGAGATACGAAATCGCTTGATTGAAGATAAGGCAACGGGTGCCCTTATGCATAAGCTGCGGAAGGGCTTCCCAATTCTCATGGCGGTGACTAGGCATGATCGAAGCGAACAGCAGGGCGTGTGGTGCGCTTCCTCCCACCTATCATCACCAGTTACAGTACAGTATGGCGGCGTTTCCACATTCTGCTCTTGCCGAGTTTAGTTGGTGAAGGGTTGAGTTGTTGGTCGTGGAGATGTCGCCACGTCAGTTGTGTGTGGTGTGGTGGGCACGGTGTGATATGTTCATAAGCGGTACACATGTTGCTCAACCGCTGCGCTCGAATTTGCCCTGTACGCGCCAGATACTCTGCACGCGTGTATTTATTGCCAGCCAGTTCCACCCCACTTACAAGCGCCTCGGGCAAGTTGCAGCGATTTGAACCAATTCGAACCACAGAAAACGAAGCTTGACCGAAGAGACTGAAGTCAAAAGGTCAACGGCGAGTTACAAAGTTTTTTATAAGCCCTTTTTGCTAAGTGCGAATTGACGAAAACTTAGCGAAATGCAAGAATCACTTAAGAGCCCCCTTCACAAGGCAACCTTGGGTTAGTCAAACGAGCATCATCTGTAACTGGGAAGGGTCCAGTAACGTAGGATCCTCCACACACACCTAGTTGTGTTGCAGGAGCATTCTGCCATGGGCTAGTTGTTGTCTGTCGGTGGGAGTCTGAACTTCTATGCACGTCTTGAAACTCTGTCCGCAGAATGCGCAAGAATGTTGCTCGAGTGCTGTTGGGTAGGGAGATACAGTCGATGCTCAGCCTATCACAAAAATTTGCTTATCACTATTAGAAAATTAGTCACTCGCGAACGTTTTCCCTGTGAGTGGTGATTGTGCTGATTTCGGGTACAGTCACCAAGTTGCGGAAGAAAAACATCTACAGTTCATAAACAACAGCGATTGCCCGTCATCAGAATTGTTTACCTGGTTACGAACTTAAACCCCCGGACTCGTTTCAAATTCCAATTTCATTTTACAATCACAATTTTGCCCGTGGCGACAAGGGCGAACATGACGAAATGCCCCAAACTCGTTTCACGCACATGCCGCCCGCCTACCTGGTGTTCTTGAAATGAGCACCGACTGTACGTGGCCTTGCTGCTGCGAAAGGAGGAACAAATCCACGTTTTTCCATCCGACAGGAACAAATCACGCGAGGCAGTGGCCTGAGGCGTAACGCGTGAGGTGACATGCCATCTAACACCATGTCACATTTGCCTGGCAAGGCAGATCGGCCGAGCTGGCGAGAATAACGTGGGTGGGTGAAGCGAGGGGGTCTGATTTGTTGGGGCTGGCGGCAAAGCTGGCAGCACGATACTGTACAGCTTAGGGTGCGTTCCTGGCGCGTGTCAAACTTCCGGCCAAACTCGTGTTTTCCGAGCCTGGGGGAATGCTTATACATTCGATTTCAATTTTCGGTTGGCTGATGTGAACAGTGAATTTCTCTTATAATTTTGAAAGAAATCACTGTTCACATAGCTTCCCCGAAAAAATGAAAACAAATGTTTCCAACCATTCCATAATCGTCGATAAGTACGGCGAATGGAACAATTGGAGATTCGTTCTAGCCCTACAGATGATGCCCAATGACACAAGAACACAAATGACAACACAAAAATAAAACCGTCGTGCATGTTCTGAAGGGAACACTAAATGCATCAATGCAACAACTGAGACTGATATGGTACGGAAGAGGCGAGCAAAGCTGCCCCACCGACGATCACAATCCCAGTTGCATACACGAGACACTTAGCACCACACCCCCGAAACAAGCACAGACGATAACACATAAATGGTTACAAAAACAGAAGACAACGATAAAGAATGTTTCAAAGCGAATGCTAAATGCATCAGTGCTGCAACTAAGATTGATATGGTACGGAAGAGGCGAGCAAAGCTGCCCCACCGACGATCACAATCCCAGTTGCATACACGAGACACTTAGCACCACACCCCCGAAACAAGCACAGACGATAACACATAAATGATTACAAAAACAGAAGACAACGATAAAGAATGTTTCAAAGCGAATGCTAAATGCATCAGTGCTGCAACTAAGATTGATATGGTACGGAAGAGGCTAGCAAAGCTGCCCCACCGACGATCACAATCCGAGTTGCATTCACGAGGCACTTAGCACAACACCCGAAGCACACACAATACACGTATGCACATGTACACACTCACACACATACAGGCTCACACATATACAGACACACACAACACAAAAACATACAGCTACTGTAATAAGCATGCAAGCATAATGAATGAATTTCAGCATTGTCTAAATTATCACTATCCTGTCCCCCATTCCCCTCCCTCCCTCCCTCCCTCCCTCCCTCCCTCATTTGCCTCATCTCCCTTCTTCCAATCCGTTTTCTCCGCAAGAAACAAAGGCTGCAGCTTGAACTCCCTGCACAGGAAAGAAAAATCAGCGAATGCAACTCACTCCCTGCACAAACAAGAACAAAATCAGAGAATACAACTTGCATTAGTTGCACAAGAAAACAAATTCAGAGAATGCAGCTTCCTTGATGCACTAAAAAACAAAGTAAGCGCAACAGAAATTCACGCTCTCTCGCGCACTCTCTCTCGCACTCTCTCACACACTCTCCACGCGCTCCCTCACGCGCTCCCTCACGTGCTCCCTCACGCAATCTCTCATTCGCACTCTCACTCACGCGCTCCCTCGCACTCTCTCTCAGGCGCGCTCGCTCTCACGGGCTCTAACACGCACTGTCACTCGCTCCCTCACGCGCTCTCTCACGCGCTCTCTCACGCGCTCTCTCACGCGCTCTCTCACGCGCTCTATCACGCTCACTCCTACACGTACTTTCCTATGCGTGCGCTCCAGTGCACACGCTCTCCCTCGCGCTCCGCGTCTCTCCCTTTCTTCACGAAGAGAGCTACGCAAGAGAAGACCAATCGACACACAATAATTACGAGGAGAGCAAAAACAAACAAACAAAATTGAAGAAGAATAAACAAAGAATTTTCAGAGGGAGGAGGGAGGATGAAAGGACCCGGAACGCACCGGATTTACCACGGCAACTCGGAAAACAACCCGCGCTCGCGCACCAAAAAGCGCTCGCGCACCAACTCGCGGTTGCGCCCGTGCACTGGTCGCCGGAGGCGACTACGGGGTAGGAGGGAGAGGCGACGGCGGGGAGGAGGGAGAGGCGACGGCGGGGAGGAGGGAGAGGCGACGGCGGGGAGGAACGAAGAGGCGACGGCGGGAGGGAGGGAGCGGCGATGGCGGGGAGGAGGGAGAGGCGAAGGCGGGAGGGAGGGAGAGGCGACGGCGGGGAGGAACGGAGAGGCGACGGCGGGAGGGAGGGAGCGGCGATGGCGAGGAGGAGGGAGAGGCGAAGGCGGGAGGGAGGGAGAGGCGACGGCGGGGAGGAGGGAGAGGCGACGGCGGGGAGGAACGGAGAGGCGACGGCGGGAGGGAGGGAGCGGCGATGGCGGGGAGGAGGGAGAGCTAAGGCGGGAGGGAGGGAGAGGCGACGGCGGGAGGGAGGGAGAGGCGACGGCGGGGAGGAGGGAGAGGCGACGGCGGGGAGGAGGGAGAGGCGACGGCGGGAGAAACGGAGAGGCGACGGCGGGAGGGAGGGAGAGGCGACGGCGGGGAGGAGGGAGAGGCGACGGCGGGGAGGAGGGAGAGGCGACGGCGGGGAGGAGGGAGAGGCGACGGCGGGAGGAACGGAGAGGCGACGGCGGGAGGGAGGGAGCGGCGACAGCGGGTGGGAGGGAGAGGAGATTGCGAGGTGGAATGGAAAGTGGATGGCGGGGTGGAAGGGAGCAGCGATGGGAAGGTGAGAGGGAGAGCCGATGACGAGGTGGGTGGGATGGGAGGGTGAGGCAACTGGTGGTTGGTAGGGGAGGGGAAGCGATGACGGGGAGGAAGGGATTGGCAAACAAGAAACTACAGTGCGCAATATGGGAGAAGGGGGGAGGCATGAATCACAACACGAAAAAGACGATGGGGCAAAACGAAAACACTGAACAGAATTTGCGCGCCTGCCAGAAAAGGATGATGCATGAAACAATTCACATATAAAAAGCCCGAAAAAGACGGGGCAATCCGAGCCAGTACAGGACCTGGGCACTTGGAATAAAAAAACCAAACGCTGGTGGCACGTGAGAACACACACATTATCACGTGAATTTTGTGTGAGTTGTGTCAGAATCCCATGTTAGAACGAGAAGAGTATATGTCTGATTAGGTGGAGGTTGGGGTACAAGACTAGAGTGTCGAGTGAGTTTCTGTACCCCTTAAGGCTAGCCCCAATATAGCCTAGATACTAACATGCATATGTTTTGACACACCCCCATAGGCGAAATGGGGGATAGCCAGAGCAAGCAATGGTCACAAGACCAGTCAAGAGAAGAAACAAAACACGGCTCAGGGTGGATCACAACGTCACCACACACACTGAGCACAAACAAACGGCCACAAGGCCAGTCCACATGCAGAGGTATATAAGCAGCAAGAACAGCACAGTGATCTCTACCTAGCAATGCAAACATGCAAGTATATATATATGTATATATATATATATATATATATATATATATAGATCACAGTACAAGCAAGGCCTCTGTCGGGGGAAACTCGGAGGAGTGAGGAGCGGCGCGCTGCCGCCCCTCGACACAGGGAAGACAGGGAGGCGCAGGCGAGGGTGGGAGGGGAGGGAGAACCCTGCTGCCCCTCCTGTGGTCGGGGGGGGGGAGGAGAGTAAGGAGGTGGCAGGAGTGTCTTGTTGTCGCCTGTCCCTTTGCTGCTGTACCTGCTCTGATACCATGTTAGAACGAGAAGAGTATATGTCTGATTAGGTGGAGGTTGGGGTACAAGACTAGAGTGTCGAGTGAGTTTCTGTACCCCTTAAGGCTAGCCCCAATATAGCCTAGATACTAACATGCATATGTTTTGACATCCCAGTCACTAACCACTGGGATAAAAGGGCTTGTTTGTATAGCGGGTGAGTGCGCCCATAACCCCCCAGGCCGACATGCCTGTAACCCTTCCCTAGGATCATCGGGGATCTCCAGTGGACCTCTGACACCCCCCCGCACTGGGATGCCCGAAGTGCATACACCGGGATTCGAACCCGAGACCTTCGCTCTGATACCATGTCAGAATCCCAGTCACTAACCACTGGGATAAAAGGGCTTGTTTGTATAGCGGGTGAGTGCGCCCATAACCCCCCAGGCCGACATGCCTGTAACCCTTCCCTAGGATCATCGGGGATCTCCAGTGGACCTCTGACAAGCTGGAAACACATACTTGCTGGAGCAAGAACCTCATTACATATCTTTGCTACAAAATATCATATTGAAGATTTATAACATTGTTCACTAATTATATTCAATACTCAATATACATAGTATTATTTTCACCCAACGTTTAGAAAGGCAATCATAAGCACTAGCTTGTAATATTCATTATCACATTAAAACTAAAACTTGGTGCTACATAAATACATTAAATTGGTTATATAGGTTATGTTAGTTTATTGTGTATGATCCTTTATAGCTTCAAAAATGGCAAATCCTACGCAACCCATACGACGATAAACGTCGAGCCTTGTTTAGGGATGACCCGAAGTGGGGCGAGCTGTGGGGCGAGCTTCGTGTCATCCCGGGAATACCGGAAGTTTGACACTAGCCAGGAACGTACCCTTAGTAGGCTTGGGTAAGACGAACTGTTAGAGTAGATAGAAACCTTGTCAGATCAGGAAAGTAATCCCCCCTAAAAAAAACCCTAGGCCAAAATGTCAGAATGAGGAATGGATGATGCATTGATGTTGGTTGGGGTACATATAGCTAACCCTAAGTTTTGTACCCCCTAAGACAAACCTCACTATAGGCTACAACATTTGACACACCCCCATAGCCTAAGTGAGGGGTGTCTAGCAGAACCAAACGAGTACGGTCACAAGACCAGTCCAAGAAACGAAGCTCAGGGTGGATCACAACGTCACCACACAGTCTGAGCACAAACAACAGTGGCCACAAGGCCAGTCCAAGAAGTAACAGAGGTATATAGAAAGCAAAGTAAACAGTACACTCAAGCCTAAGCAACACGAGAACCAGTGTCAACAAGGCCTAACTGCACACAGCACCTCTGGTGGTCACAAGGCGGAAGCGCCTTGGTGAAGATGTCTGCAGTGTTGGCCTCGGACTCCACAAACTCAAAGCGAGCCTGTCCACGCCTCTGCAACTCTCGCAGAAGAAAGTACCTGACGTGAATGTGCTTCACTCTGCTCTCCAGTCGTGGCTCTCGACAAAGGAGAATAGACGCCTTGTTGTCAGTGAACAAGGTCGGTGCAGAGCTCGGCCGCTCACCAAGGTCGGTGAGCAAGAAGGTCAACCAACGCAGCTCCTGTGCCGCCATGGCACCAGCGTAGATCTCAGCCTCAGCTGTAGAGGTCGAGACCGAAGAGGAGCGCGTGGACCGCCAGGAAACAGCTCCAGAACCCAGGCTGAAACAGTACCCCTGAGTAGACCTGTGAGTCTCAGCGTCGTCAGCGTAAGAGGAGTCACAGTGACCAGTAAGTACGACAGACTGCTGCCCTCCAAGAACTAGCCCCACGCCTGACGTCGTCGCTAGGTACTTCGCCACCCTCACAGCTGCTGTCCAGTGAACAGGACGGTGTCTCCCTGGCGCAACAAAGCGCGCAAGAACGCTGAGAGGGAAGGCGAGGTCCGGGCGAGTACAAGTCATCAGGTACATGAGGCAACCCACAAGCTCTGCGTAGGGACCACTAGGCTCGAACGGCTCGTCAGGAAAGGGTCCAGTGAGTCTGTGGTCAACAGCAAGAGGTGTGCGCTGTACTGTGGAGTGCTGAAGCCCGAACCGCTGAAGGACCTGCTGCACCATGTGCGACTGTGAAAGTGTAATGGTGCGAGCAGCTCTGTCCCTGGTGATCTGCAGGCCAAGGTAGTGGCGCAGCTCACCAAGATCAGTGCAGGTGTGTCTCTTCTGCAGTTCGGACTTCACGTGTGCCAAAGCAACCCTGTCAGGGGTGGCGAAAACAAGGTCGTCAACGTAGACCAGAACAAAGAAAGGTGTGGGGCCACGACGAACGAACAGCGACGGGTCAGCAGAAGACGGCTGGAACCCAAGGTCAGACAGGGTAGAACGCAGGGTGTCGTGCCACTCACGAGGAGCCTGACGAAGACCGTAAACCGGTCGCCTCAGCCTCCACTGGGTCCCAGGAGGGAAAGAGCCAGTGAAGGCAGAGGGACGACGCAACCAGACCTCCTCGTGAAGACTGCCCTGAAGGAAAGCAGTAGAGAAGTCGAGAGAGTGTAACTCGTAGTCTCTCTGTGCTGCTACGTGTAGTAACACCCGAAGAGTGGTCATCTTCGGGGTGGGCGCGAAGGTCTGAAAGAAGTCAACTCCCTCGCGCTGACTGAAACCTCTAGCCACGTAGCGCGCCTTGAAGACCGGAGGAGATCCCGGTGGCCGCTTCACCCTGTAGATCCACATGCCGTCGACTACGTTCGCCCCCGGAGGGGGAACCTCATCGACGTAGGTGCCTGTGGATCTGTAGGAGGCCATCTCTGCGTCCATGGCAGCTCTCCACTGAGAGGCCCAAGGCCCTGACACTGCCTCAGCGTAAGTGCGAGGAGTCGGAATGTCAAGGGCGTCGGGGTCACCCTCAGGGGCGAGGAGCATGGCACAGAGATGAGGGGAAGCGGCCGCCAGGAACTCTAGCTCAAACTGCCTGTCCTCTAGGGCGTCACAGCCAAGGGCAGACACACCCCCGACGGCCAGAGGACTGGAAGGAGGAGCTGCCACAAGAGCGGTGGCGAAGTCAAGGCGGCGGGTAGAGGCAAACTCAGTGACTGCGGCAGTAAGAGCGGACACAGAGGACACAGAGGCACGAGGGTGGGTAACAAGAGAGGCGAGAACACGAGAGAGAACAGGACGGTACGTGCGGTAGTAGTCAGTGACAGGGGAAGGAAGCGACACAGTGAGGGCCGACTCAGGAGGAGACGGAAGCACAGACGGAGACGGACGAGGTGGACGAGAACAAAGGAAGGCTGTACGAAGGTCAGTGAAGGGAACAGGAGACGAGGGACGAGCACGAGGGGAGCGACGAGAGGCCCAAGTCTGAGAAGGAGGAGGAGACAACGAAGACTGAGAACGAGGGAAAACAGCGGGAGAGGGGTCAGGAGGAGGAAGCGGAGGACCAGAGACGGGAGGAGAGGGGGAGGAGGAAGGAGAGGGAGACGGGAGACCAAGGGTCCGAAGACCCGAGACAGGAGGAGGAGACGGCAGCAGCTGCTGCTGCTGCTGCTGCTGCTGCGGCTGCTGTGGCTGCTGCTGCTCCAGCGGCTGCTGCCTCTGCTGCTGCTCCTGCTGCTGCTCCTGCTGCTGTCGCTCCTGCTCCTCGAGCCGCTGCAACTCTCTCTCCTCTCTCTCCAACTCCAGCTGCTCCTCACGAGCACGGCGAACACGAGCCTGGAACCTGGTCGGGTAGGGGTGGGGGGAAGGAGTAGTGTCCGGGGCAGCGGCAGCCCCAGAGTCGACCTCCGAAGCACCAAGCACACCACCCCCAGAGGCAGCACCAACACCAGCTCCAGACCCAGGCTCTCCAGAAACCGAAGGGACACCCTCACCCCCAGACGCAGCACCCCCAGACTCCGCACCAGCACCCCCAGACTCCGCACGACCAGTACCAGCCCCCGGAAGACAAGAGTCCTCTGCAACCCGCGGCTCAGCTCCAACTCCAGCACCCCCAGAACCAGAGACCTGTACAGGGACAGTCGCAGGACCAACCTCCCGAGAGGGAGCACCTGCAGGAGGCGGCGAGGAAGACTGTGGGGAGGGAGGCTGTACAGGGGGGGCTACCGAAGGGGGAGGGCTGGCCTGAGACACACCAGACGGGGCTGGACCAGGGGGGGGAGGCTGTACCGGGGGAGCAGGCGGGGGAGCGGCTGTCAGGAAG